AGTAGTAGTAGTAGTAGTAGTAGTAGTAGTAGTAGTAGTAGTAGTAGTATTCGTTTAAAGTAATGGTAATGGTAGTATTCGTTTAACGTCGCTACGTACATGTGTACACGGACGGAGCTGCGCAAGTCGGGCATTGACGATTTGTCAACGTCGAATCCTCGCTACCGCCGCCTCGGGACTTCTTCCGACGCTACGGACGTCAGCAGCAGCGCGCTACCACCAGCACAGATACAGCAGTGATGTATCGCTGATGTACGCGCGAGGCTCTGAATCAAGAATGTCGCAATTAAGCCCGTCTCATCAATCAATCTACAAGTCGCGAGCATATATGCATGCAATGCTCTGGCGAACTGGATTCTCCGAGCCCTGTCTGACTTGACTTGATGATGATGATGATGATAGTATTCGTTTAACTTGAATTGGTTTGACGTAAGGAAACTTCAAAACGAATACACACACACACACACACACAATATGCAATCGACTTCGCGCCATGAACGACTAGCGTCGCTCGCGCAGTCTGATTCTTGATTGAGCTTGCCGCGGCACGAGTTGGTGCGCGTGAATGGGCGGACCGGACTTCTACCCGCGGCTTCTCGATTTTGATTCTCTGATTGTAGGATTCGTGATTGCTGCTGAAGGAGCGGCGACGAAGCTGTAGTCGACATGCTTGCATGGCGCAAGTCGCAAGCGATGGTGTGAATTCGATTCGTCTTCCGCCGCATCGCTGCACGCAGATTGCTGCTGCGCTAGATTGCAGCTGCAAGCTTGCTTGCGCAAGCACGGTGAGGAGCAAGAGAAGAATTGTGATTAGAGATGGTCCACGAAGGGCCCCGCAAAGGCGCGCTCCACATCCCTGAGAGTGTGTCAGCGATGACGAAAACGCCCCAGATCTCGGCTTTCGGAGGTCGTCGGATGGGTTGCCCCGGCGCCCTCGCGCCCTGTAAGCTGCTGTCCGACTGTATATCGCCCCCGCGCAGGCACCTCGCGGTTTTCAGCAATTATAAGTCTCTTCTACTCCTGTATCCTTACGGGTGGCTTTTTCATTTAAGCGACCAAAAGCGCCACTACAGCACGTGCGTGCGTCGCAGATGGATGTCTCCGCAGGCGCTTCCTGCCTTGTCGGAGGCTTAAGCGGGGGCACAGCCTGCTGCATGGTCGACCAACGTCGGGGTATCTGAATCATGTCATAAATCGGCCTCGGAAAGCAGCTTTCAGCTTCGCCTTGCTGCAGATTGCTGATGAAGCATGAAACGTGAGGCTTCGTGGACCGACGCAGACTTGCATTAGCGCAATTAACTTTCGGAGAAAGCTCATGTGAAATCGCGCGCGAGAGGCGAAAGAGGTTGCAGCTAGGGGCTTGACCGACTCATCTGATGCTTCGAGTCCATCCAAGTCCGACGACCTCAGCTCCCGTACCATGACTTGGACTCGCTCCTACGGTACGCTGACTGAACATCAAAGCTGTGGTCAAGGATAGCTCGAGCGCAATGCAACGCGGGAGGAGGAGCTGGAGCCCCGGCACGCCCCACCTTGATCCGCAGCATCCGAGCTCGCGCCCAATGAACTTTGGCGGATAGTGACGGTCTTCGACCATGGGTGTGCAAGGTTCGTGCATCACGAATGGCGCAATCACGTAATGAGAGGCCGATCGTGAATGAGCTGCCTACATGTCTGCGGTCTGTCGCGCAGGTCTTGAAAATGCGGATGAGGGGATGAAGGGGAGTATCTGTGCATATTCCCACGCAGCCCCTAGCGGCAATCGCAAGTTCTGTGTAGGAGCTTTGCGCCAGACAATCGACCTGGTGGCCGTCCCTTGCCGTGGAGGCATGGATTACTACGTGGCCCGCCAGCACCTTCTGAGGATATGCGTGTCTAAGTCGCGAAAGGCAGCCATGGCAGAGGACGTGCTCGCGTTCTTGCATGGTGATCTCGGCTACTGTGAGCCAGCCTGGGCTAAGTGGAACGAAAGAAAATTTCAATGTGAAAGAGGACGAGACGCACGATGAGTCAATGGCTGAGTCGACCATATGGCGTTCCGTAGCGATGGATACGAACCACGGGTGTCGCATGCCTCGTCCTCGATGGACCAAGGCGCACGATCATGTTGAAGGGCGCAGAGCGGAGCATGTGGTGCGATCGCAGCCCAGCCATGCAGCGACCCTTCGACCGCGTGGTTTCCAATCGTGATTCGTCCTTTATTGATGAGATCTACGCCAGTGCCCATCAAGGCCGCATTTCCCATCCGCACAAGCCCAATGGACTTGGCCGAGCCTTCAAGGCAGTGTACCGCGAATCGGGGTTGACATCAAGTTGTATCGGCGCCTCGGCGCTTCCTCTCGCCGATTGCTGCTGTGCAGATTACTCCGTTGAGTGAGAGCCTCGAGTCTCAGCTGCTGCCGAGCAAGTATAGTGGGCATCTGCAGCAGTCGCACCCATGCATGCAGCACCGTCGATGTGCTTCTGCTTGCACAGCAGCCGCGATTCTGGCCGTATAGCTTGCCCAAAGGCCACCTCGTCCACCAGGGACTTTTCTCCGCCAGGCTTCGCAGCTGTCTGTCTCAGATCTCGTTCTGCTTTGATCCGCTTTCTTAGAGCAAAGGGACGGCGCCACGCCTTGCGACCTGACGTGGTGGCCTGCTGGCCTCGACGCTGCGCTCCTTTGGCCACGACCCCTCGCTGCATGGTGCTTGCGATTTGCCCCCCCTTCGTGCTGGCCGCGCATTGACGTGTGACGGAAGTTTTGAAATTGCGCTAACTTTACGGTATGCCTGGCAATCAACCTGCTCTGTCCCGTGTGAGACATGCGTTGGATCAGACATCCTCTCTCGCTTGTCGCCATGCAGCAACGGCTGACGCCCGCGAGACCTCGCTTCTCCTCGTTCGCGCGAAGCTGCAAGACCTTGAGGTGGCTCTCGCCTCAAGTCCATTTTTGATGGTCGCCATGCGGGAGCAGCATGGTATCAGCACCGCTTCGCTTCCTTGTGATGGTGCATCATCTTGATACCGCGTGGATGTATTCAGCCTCGCGAACGCATGTCCGACGAAGGTCGCTGCTGATGCACGCACAGCAGGCAAAGGCTGCAATTTGCTTGTGAGCTGTCTCAGACCGCCAAACGGCTAAGGGCAGCAAAAAGCCGTCTCGCATGTTGCCCTTGTGATGTCCCGCGCCATACGCAGCCTCATCACCACGCTGCCATACAGGTACTCACGCAGCACATGCAGCAGCGGACGCATGGTCAAAGTGCGCCGTTGAGTCCAGGAAGCTTGCATGGTCTGGATCAGCGCGGGACGTTAGTGAAATCATCGGACTATCCAGCTGCACGAGGCATGGCGTGAGAGAAGAGCCGACCAAGAGAGCTGACGGTACCCTGCCAGAGTTGGCCTTTTGCACCGAAAGAGAGACACGGATCGGCCATCGAGCTAATTTGCCTTTTGCTGAGGATACATGTGCTGCGAATGGGAAATGCTGCTCAGCCTTTCCATGCGGCCATCGCACGCCTGCGAGTAAGACCACTGCATGTCGCCACGACTCTCCACACCACACATTCCGGGCTCGTTCTTCCTTCCTTGTCCTCCTCGTCCCCATCCACCTCCCAACAATCCACATTTCGGTTCGCAGAATCCCTTATCTGGGACAGACGCATCCAAGTCAGACGCTCCTCTTGCTGGTCTTCACCTGAAGTCTTGCCATTCCACCTAGCACCCTCGGGCCCGCTTGACCACTGCACCGATCAGTGCGTACCACCCAATCATTCGTCATTACGATAGCGAAGGCTACTTCTCCGGACACCACCCTGTTGTCATCCACATCGAGACACGCCGCTTGCTCTGGTGCACCGCCTGAAACTCGAACAACCTCTTTGTTGGCGGTCCAGCCGACTTGCGGGCCTTCTCCATTTCGAGAGCAAAGACAAAGCTATACATATCCTCCAATTGCTGGGCCTGCGCACGTGCTGCGGAAGCGCCACTAGTACATCGGAAACCCATCACGCAGAGCGTCTCGCCGCTCGTCACATCAACACGCCGCAATCCTCTACCGTGGCATCGCCCTGCCATAACCGCGTTACAACCGCGGTACCTTGGCCGCCTCAATCGCGATTTCGTCAGCAGGACCCTCCACTTGGCCGCTCTGCGCGTTTCCAATTGAGGTCGGCGTTGGGCTATCTCGACTTAGATTTGCGCTCTCACAAGTCGGTATCTCATCTGGCGTCCTCGATCCGGCAGAGCTCGGCAATCTTGATCAAGAGTCGGAAAGTGAGTCGATGGCGTTGTATGCTTGCTCGATCAGAGTACTAGAAACGAGGCACTGCAGGCGGGTGTGGGTGTGCAAGCGGCTCCCAGCCGCATCGCGATCGGAACAGTGACGCAAGTGTGCCCTGATTCAGCGGTACGGAAGCCAATGATTGCTGCGACTGCTTGCTGTTTCGAAGAAGACGGTCCGGCCCTATCACACCCACCCACAGGCTCGCCACAGCCTTTCGTGTCGCGGAAGGTGCTTTGTTCTGCGGTCGCATGCGATGGAGCATTTGCGAGGAAAGAAAGGTGCCTCACGCATTCGAGTTGCGTGTCGTTCTGACGCGAAGGAGGACCTCGCTGCGATACCGTCATTTTGCCTTTCCTGATATGGGGATCCGCACCGAGAGCAGGCGTTTGCATCTTTCCTCAAGTCGAAGGGCGCATACGCACGGGCTATCAAAACTTGCAAGGGCTCGGCACTAGCGTTGTCAATCAGATTGCCGGCCCGAGATGATCATATGGCTGCGCGGAGGAGAAGAAAAGGGCCAGGGCCCGGTTTCGGGGTAGACACGAGCATCGAGTGCCACGTTTCCCGACACGGGCGCGGACTTATGACTTTGACTCTGATCCTGCTGCATAGCATTGGAGAGCAGAGGGGAGCCCTTGGGCAGCAGCTATACACAGCTATGTGGTATACAGTAGATCACGAAGCCTGCCCGTCGCGCTGCGCCCCTTGCTGCCCTACTGCCGCGATCGCCCTCTGTTCTTGATGGAGTAATTACCGCGAGGTGATTGTGTCTAGAGCGAGCGTCCGAATTCGTGGGAAAGGCCAACTTGTCTCAGATAGCAAACCCCCCGCGCGACCTTTCCTATTCTCAGCCAGCCGGGCTACGGATGGCTTCGCTGCAGAGTTGCGCGGGGATTGGACATGATGCCTGGCTCAAATCGAGTAATCCTCTCGGACCTGCGTCAATATCGTTCGTAGGTTTGAGACGCTTCCATCCTGCTGCTGCTGTACATGTACATGCGCCCTAACACGGATGAAGCAGCACCCCAACACGGTACGTGCGCGTTACGCGTCAGGGGCCAAGGTCAGCAAAGCAGAAACTTCATCGGATTCAGTCAACAGTGCTCTGCGGTGCAGCAAACGCTCTGCCCAGCTATGCGCCGGCTCGGCCTGAATAGCTGGCTGGCTTGTGCGAGGTGCCGCTACCATAGACATCGCAGTTCCAGTTGCGAAAGTCGGAGGAGTCGCGCTTGTAGGCCGCATCTCCTTGGGCTCGAGATCAGTCATGCTCCTATGCGGTCGCGGGTCAGGAACGCTTCTCACGCGCGGCCCGCCGCTCAAGACGCAACCGCATATCTTAGAGTGCTCATTGACCCACGTTCACTCTTCTGTTTTGACCTTTCGCAGCGAAAAGAAATACCATCACAGGCAGCGACAAGCGCCGCGACAGCTGTCGAAACGCAGAGCTGCGAGCGCTGCTCACCAAGATCGCCCGAGCCAGCAAGAGTCTTGAAAATCCTTCGCGTCCTCCACCCTTCTGCAACGTATGCATCAAATCGCCCAACCGCTCTCTGATTTGAAGTGGCCAAAGCACTTTAGTCCTGGCCCTTCATCTCGCAGCGATCTGGACTTGGTTCCACCTGACGACTTCGACCATCAGCATTTCAAGATGTCCACGGACGAGGAACGTGGTACGAAGAGATCTCGAAGCCCTTCCGCGAGGGAAGGTGGAGAAGAGATCGCTGTGCCTCGTCAGCGGCCAGGCCGCTTTCCTCTCGCCATGTCTGATCTACTCTCCGGTCCGCAGCAATCGATGGGCGCTTCCCTTCCACCTGCCAAGCGGCGCAGCATCTCTCCACGACGCGAGGAGCCACGCTCAGCGTTGCCATCCGCAATGGCAGTTGACGACGCCGTATCCCACCACAACATGGCGAAAAGCGCTGATACGTCGCCACCCGCCACTTCTGAATCTCGTAGTGCGAATCGAAGACCTGCGACAGCCGGAACAAATAGTCCGTCAAGCACCGGGCCCAGGATGCGAGACAGTCAACGCCCTTCGACGAGCACGGGAGCACCAAGCGCCGTAGCTCAAGCAGACAACCATTCAAGCGAGGGGGCAAGCGTCGCTTATCAATACACTGCCGTTTCTCAGATCACAGCTGGGAGAGAAAACATGTGAGTTGATGTCACGCTACGCGTTGTCAACGCGTAAACCCTGCAGAGACGCTGATCTGTGACACTGGATTTTCCATTGCTTCTTCACACCCAGTGAATACCAGCTGACGCTTCGCGAACAGCCAAAGCACTCCCGGATGTGCGGCGTCGGCGAGAAGGGTGAGTACCTAGCGATGCTGCGCTGGACTGATCTCTGTGTCTGCTACAGCAATGAAGCTAATTCTTACTGTCTGCTGTCTCGCCTCGTCACAGCCGATCGACGTCCTATTGACCCTGCACCGATCATCCAACTTCGCGTCATCACGCACGATGGACCTCCAGGCTCTGCTCAAATGACCTCCGAGAGCAGCTACGGTCAAGTCATCGGCACTGGTGGCAGCACTTCGCGCGTTCGACGCGGCGTTCCGGTCATGACCGACTGGGGTGAAGGATGGGAAGACAAAGCGTGGTATCTAGAAAACCCTTACTACTTCATGTATGCGATGCTCGCCGATGCCGAGACCGATGAGGAGCTGCACCTGCTGCAGGACGGCAAGACGCGCTATACTACCGGCAGCTGCGTCTCCTGCTTGTACCACCTCAAGGACATCGATGGCAGCCATCAAGGCTTCTTCGTCTTCCCTGACTTGAGCATACGAGTCGATGGCCGATACCGCCTCAAGCTCTGTCTGTTCGAGACGATCGGGCACGAGGTTCACCATTGCAAGTCTATCTTCTCCGACCCATTCAACGTGTTCACAGCCAAAAGATTTCCGGGCATGGAGGGTGAGTCGAGCGCGCGCGCGTCTGGCGACGCCTCGAGGGAAGATAGCACTGACGCAGGCCTGATTGCTCGCTGACTCGTTGTTCACAGAGTCGACCTTGTTATCAAAGTCGTTCGCTGATCAGGGTCTGAAGGTCCGTGTTCGCAAGAACCCACGCCTTCGGAGAGGTCGAGCGGGCAACAAACGCAAAGACGGCGACTACAGCGACGACTCTGACGGGCAGACTGGTGCGGGTCTTCATGGTTACTTTGACGATCCATCGTGGCGCGACCAGAAGCGAGTTCGGAGCGACGAGAATGATGCTCTCAGCCACGATGGTGGTTACAGCCGCCAAGCCGACCGGATGCTACCTCCAGGCGGAGAGCTGAGAGACTCGCGAGGATACCCTTACTCCCCTTCTTATGCGCACGAACGCCGCTACGATCGCGAGGGCTACTCGATGATGATGCAGGGACGACCTCCTGCCTCCCAAGTCTTCGGACCTCCTCCTGCAATGGTGCGACCACATCGCGAGCAGGAGACGTATAGGCCGACGTATGCTTCTCGACCAGTCCGCGAAGAGTACGCTCATCCCGAGGACAGTCACGGCGGTAGGTCACGCCATCCTTCCGGTGGACTGGCGTACTCTGGTTCGCCTGCTCAACAGTCGGTGACACACTCGGAAACGCGTCGTCCGTCATTGCCGTTTGCGTTTGCCCCTCCGGCGCAGAGTCGATCTCGTCCGCCTAGCCCTTCGGAGACGAGGTCATACCAATACCAGCACAGTACCCCGCAAGGTAGCCATCGTTCTCGCAACATTTCTGGCTCCAGCTACATTTCTATGGAAGACGGTAGTGAGGGATCTCGCAGCGGCTATCACAGCTCTCCAAGGCACGGTCCTTCCAGACTTCCTGCTCTAGCGCCGTTACGGTCCGATCTCAGACAACACGCAGGCGGAGTACGAGGCGCACCTAGACCATCTCATCACGGTGTAATGGATCGTGGCATCGACGAAGACGGCTACCTGAGTGTGCCGCACGCAAGCCGGGACAGATCGGTCAGCGATCCAATGGCTCGAGTTTCTCCACGCTCCGCTTTCTCGGGCGCTATGCCACCGATCCCGGATTTGGGGGATCGTCGACTGCCGCCACTTCGCGGCACTCTGGCTCAGGATTCTCGACCGCCACCCGTTCGCGGCATCTCTGATTATGGTCGAGAGACAGAATACAGCGGTGAGCGTGGACACGACGCGCATCCACGTGCCCATTCACATCAAGGCTACACGCACCCGCTTGCTGAGCAGGATGAAAACTATCATGCGCAACGCGGCGAGTCGAGCCCTCGAAGAGGTCGCGTGCCTTGGCAAGGTCCTTGAAGGAGCCAGCGCTCAACTCAGCGCTTTTCGTCACGAGTCTTGCATGATCCCCGGCAGAATGTGGGAGCTAAATGCTTCACCTTTCTTGTCTCGCTTATTTTACTCTTGTACATATTTCATTGGTGCTTTCTTTCCTCTCTCCCTCTGCCTCACATATATGTACTCAAGTGTCCCACACCCGAAGTCGAGTCGCTGCTTGTCGACAAGTATACCCCATTCTTGTACCGTCGTCGTCGAAGCCGAATGCATGAAGTTGTCGACGATGTCGTTGCTATCCACAGGGTCGTGTCAGGCTTGTGTGAGCTGGGCTTGTGATAATCGGCTCGATCGGACTCGATCGCTTGGGGGGATCCGTGTTTTCCTTGAAGTCGCAGCACTCGAGTAAATCTAGGATGACTACGAGGCAAGATTTCAGACACCAGAACGAAGAAGCGGGTTGCTCGGCGTCGATTCAGAGTCACCACTCAGGGTTGTAGACTATGAAGAGTGTCACGTTCTGGTTGCGATCTAGCCGTGTGATCGTTATCTTGACCCGAAGGCTTTCAATGGTCGCTCGCGCGAGTCCAGAGACACAGACTCTTGACTGCGTGATCGACGATTTCATCCATTTCTCGACTCATCGTGACTCTTCGTAGCCCATGACTTCCCACCGCTGAGCAAGAAGATCGATGTTGTTTGAGATTTCAGACTTTCGCAAGACTTACAATTGAAATTCACAAATCAAGATGGAGGACTTTACTCTTTTGCGCGTTTGGACGCAGCCGAACTCATTCAAGATTATGCTTGACTACGATAACAACAAGGTTTGTTCTAATCTTTACCTTGTAAGATCAGTCATCACGCGCGCGACAGAATTTAAGAGCTCGATCGATGATGCATGATCCAGCGATCCAGCAGAGCATGCATGCAGGCGGGCGAGCGCGAGCGCGCACTGGTCGCGACTCAAACTTGTGCGAAGTCACGCGCTGCGCCACGCAGCACCAAACCGCACCGTTGATGCCGCACCGGTATACAGCAGGTCTCCCTAAAGTTCGTCTCGCAGCTCACGCCCTGCGGAGATGGATGAGCGCGCGCTGATCATCGCACAGCGGCGCAAGGCCTGCCTCGCAATTGCCATCTCCACGGGGAGAATGTGCCGACTTCGATCGAGCATTAGCAACACTTGGCCGAACCATCGTCATCATCATCTTTCTGCTTTCCTGACTGTCTGCCCAACACCTCTACAGTCGCAACCTTCACTGATACTCTTCTTACTTGTTCGAGTCAAAAAAGCCTTGTGACTTCAAGAACAAGTTCACTCGCCCCCCGTCATTGGCTCGCTGGCGATCGCGGTGCCTCATGCGCCCCCAACCGCCCCTGCCACCCTTGCACACACGCCTCGTCTCAGTATCGACCCTCGAACGATTCACGCATCACATTCGGACAGCACTGCGACTCTCCAGCGAGTGACACCTATAGCGACATCACAGCTCCAGTCTAGCGCTTCGTCTGCGCATGCAAGCAATACGCAACGCATCTCCTATGCAAGCATTCGGAGGCGTTCCTATGGCGCCCTCCGCTACAGGACCTCAGGGTGGGATCGGTGGAGGGCAAGCGGCGTACAATGGTGGGAATGCTGCAGGTGGTGCTGGAGGGCACCCGAATGGTGCGGCTTCACTCAATGGGCAGAACGGCAACAATCACGGACCCGCTGGACTCGTCTATCCCGCACTACACCTTCACCCCTTGAACGACACGTTCGCACCTAAGCAAATCAGCCTGTCGCCTCCTAGCGCAGCCAATAGAGTCAAGATTGGAAGGCAAACGAACAACAAGACCGTGCCGCACCCTACCAACGGTTTCTTTGACAGCAAAGTCCTGAGTCGCACCCATGCCGAGGTCTGGTCTCAAGATGGCAAGGTGAGTCGCTACGTTACGTGATGCCTCTTTCGCGTCCGCACTCGACACATTCGGGGCTCACGCATCCAGAGCCTTTCCGCAGATCTTCATCAAGGACGTCGGCTCCTCGAACGGCACTTTTATCAACAAGCAGCGCTTGTCCGAGGAGAGCAAGGAGTCGTCCAATTTTGAGCTGCGCAACGAAGACCTGGTCGAGTTTGGTATCGACATTGTGGGCGATGACAATAAAACGATTATTCACCACAAGGTGGAAGCGCGTGTCTACCTCGTAATCACAGCTGAAGAGGCGCTGGGTATGCGAAGCGACTTTGCTTCCCTTTATCGAGGTGGTGGCCACGGAGGAGTGATGGGAGGTAGTGGTATGGGACCGGGCGCTGAAGGCGGACTTCGACGCGGCAAGAGCGGCATGAGCTTCGAACACATCTTTTCGAAGTTGCAAAGCGAGCTTCAGCGCAGTCGTGATCACTCCTCAGAGCTAGGCGGGCTTGCGCACGCCATCACCGAGGTCGGTGAAACGATGCAAGGCGGAATGGTGAGTTCGCATTTTGTCTGTTCGTGTGCGCGGCATCTCAAATGCTGAACTCAAAATTGGCGTCATAATGCTCTACAGCCACCGATGCAGAACCCTCCTTACCAGCACATGGTACCAGCACATCCTTCAGACTCCAGCGCCCCTTCAACAAGCGTGGCTGCATTGCAAGAGCAGCTTGCAAGCACTCAGGCCAGTCTTGCAGAACATGTCGAAAAGATCCGCAACCTAGAGAGTGTGCTGGCCGAGCACGAGTCCATCAAGCAAGAAGTGGATAGCATGAAAGCGCAAATCCAAGAAGTTGCAGCAGGCAGGGGCAGCTCAGTGAGCGGCGAGAGTCTTGCTGGAGACTTCGATGACGGCGCAAGCATTGCCAGCATGGACACCGTCACTGGGGGTGCCACAGGTCGAAGATCACCCCGTTCAATGCTTGCTCAGACTCGAGCTGCGCCATCATCTAATGGCGCGGGCGGAGAAGAGGCGCTGCATGACCTGGACGCCTCATCTAGCAGCCAGGAGGATGAGCACGAAGGGCCACGCGCGCCCCCTGATGAACCCCCGCACACAACTACGGCCGCATTGATGTTACAAAATCAAGCCCTTTCTGGTAGGCTCGAGGCGCTGGAGGGCCAACTCGAAGAGGCGCTGACGCTGGGACGAGGACTTCAAGCTCAGCACGCGTCAGCCAGCGAGGCTGTCCGCACGCTGGAAGGGCGTATGGCCACGCTCGAGAAGGAGGTGGTCGAGAGCGAGAAGCGTGCTCAAGGTGCGGCTGTTAGCGCCCTCGAAGGGCGTTGGGCGGAATGGCGCGCAACGCTTGAAGCTGCTTGGACCAAAGAGAGGCAAGGATGGGCAGACGAAAGGGAGCAGATGCGAAGAGTGGTGCAGGCTTGGGATCAAGCTAACGCTAGCTTGGAATCGGAGGCCCAGATAGCCAGCACATCAAGCGTGAGACGTTCGCCTTCAGCCTCCACCTCATCGCGAGGCAGCTCACCTCGCTCAAAGAACGCCAAGCGAGGAGCTGGCAAGCGGCACGTGAACCCCGTTTTGAGGTCGCTGTTGTATACACAGTCACATCTAGAAGAAGGTTCGACGGACGACGATGACGACGATGCGGAGAGTCGAGGTGTGGCAGACGGCCAATCCGAGGCTACTAGATCCGTGGGCTCCAGTGCCAGCGGCGAGTCCGCGGAGCCTACGAGCACTGCTGCTACCAGCCCAGCTGGATCTGTCGCTGGCAAATCGCATTCTTCTCGGGCTGGAGCGGGTGCCAGCTCGAGTGCGGGTCTCAAATCAAATCCCTTCCTGGCGATGCTGTCGAAGAATGGATCCGTCGAGGTGAGTGCGCGCTTCCAAAAGGACTTGCACGCGTCCGCACGCCCTTTGACTCATCACAATGCTCTCCTGATTCTTCTGCAGCCTGTGCCGGCGGCAATGGCTGCCGCAAGCCTGTTCGCCGTGGGCATAGCTTGGTACGCGTACTCGGGCAAAAGTGGGACACCGACAAGATTGACGTGACGATTACGAAAGGTACAGAGAGACAAGGCGGAGAGTAGCAAATGAGATGAGGGTGGGAAAGGAGGATCAAAGACCACGCAGGCTCGGCACGCATTGAACAGCGTCGATTCGATCAAAGCTTTGTCGTCCTGTCGATGGCCGGTGCACACAAGCACCTAGGTCTGGGCTCTGTGCTATTACCATTACTTACGACACGCCCCAATCCATGCTTTACGTAAAGCTTCAGGGTACGTGACGAGGAGTGCCAAGTTGCATTCATGATTGCAGGATCCTACACATGATATAGTACATGACGGTCCCTTTTGATTGCCTCTGATCTCTACAGTCGGGGCGCAATGCCTATGCGACCGCTCGAGATCAGTGTGTTTGAGTGCGCTGCAGCGGACTGCTGCGTCTTTCGTCCGCCTGATAGGGATACGTAGGCCCTTGTACCACAGGGTCGTGGTGACCCTGCAAAGAAGCCCACCAAGCCTCGTCGAGGGGTTGTGGCAGGCTGTTCTCTGACGGAGGTCGATCGTGTGGTGGAGCGGATGGAGAGCTGATGGCAGGAGACGGCGCAGGAGCAGCGGTGCCAAGATGCTCTATCCTCTGGCGTTTACGAGCCTGATCATCGATCGCGCCATGCGTCGTGGCATTGCTAGTGCCTGGCACAGCGCCACCTGTCAATGCGTAGTTGTGGTGAGGAATGTTGACGCTGTTGTTGGCTCCTGCTCCCGAAGCTGCATTCTCTAGCAACGTGCCGAGGCCAAGACTGGCTGCCCAGTCAGCGGGAAGAGATGCGCCAGTGTACGCGCTACTGCCGTGCTGCTGCTGCTGCTGCTGCTGTTGAGGCAGTCCTTGGGGGAGATGACTCCCTGCGGATACCAGCAATCGGAGTGCCTCGGCTATGCTAGCAGAGGTAGAGGTCGAATTGGACGCCGTTAGAGCTGGTATGACGTCCGAAGACTGAGGAGCCGTTTGAGGGAGATTTTGGCAGCAAGCCTCGCCCCACGCTCCCATGGGACACGCTTGGCTATCCAGCAATTGCGGTGGCAAAAAGACGCTGGTCTCCGCAGCCAACGATGAAGAATTGCGCTTCTGAGAGTGCGCAAAGTGATGCGATGCAGCAGCGCCATTGCCCGACGTGCCATCCTCATTGGCAGGCTTTGTCTCCGAGGGCCTGCCTTCATTTTCATTAGCGTAGCCCACCGACTCGGCTTTTGGTGTTGATGGCGTCGTGCCCGCGTTCGTGCCTCGGCGGTCGTCATAACGCGTGCGTTTGCGAATCACATCAGCGCGCATCGTCACAGGTCGATGCGCATTGTGAAGCTTGTAGTACAAACCTGGAACGCAAGAGGTAGGCGGGTGAGTCTTTTCGGCTCGACGCGGCGGGCAAGCGCGCCAGCTACTCACCACAAGCGTTGCAAATGATTCTCCCATCGGGATCCTTCCTCCACAAGGGTGTGGTGGATGTTCCGCAATTTGCACACGAGGCGCCCGCGTGTATGCCGATCCATTCGTCCCCTCCATTCGAGGTGTTGGTTGCGCCGCTGCTCTCGCCTGCTGCTTGTTTGGCGACACGTTCGGCTCGGCGTTGCTTGAGAGCGTGCGGGCGTGGGACTGGCGACAAAAGACAATCCTTTTCAGTCCCACCCCGACATAGATACGCTAGGGCGGTACAAACTTCGACTCACCCTTGTGAAGCTTTAGATAGAGCCCACAGGCATTGCACTGCAACTTGAGGTTGGCGTCTCTTCTCCACAGAGGCGTCGACGTAGCGCCGCAATTGGAGCATTCGGACTTTCCATTGCCACCAGCATTGCTGTTGCTCGGTGAACCAGCAGCATCACCTTCGCCAGAGCCGTCTTGTGGAAAGAGTGTCTGGGGGCTAGATTTCCAATCACCGATCAGACCAGAGGCTGGATTGGAGTGTGGGGGAGCGATTGGATTCGTATGTTGATTATCCGAGAGGCTAGCACTGGTGGGATCGTTGCCGAACGCCTGGCCTGGAAAGGTGGCGGTGCGGGGCCGGTAGCTATCGGGCGAAGCTACTCCTAATCCTGGCATGGACTGATTTCCATATTCCAGCGGCGTTCCGGGCACGCTCGAGGATGATGCGGGCGTGGGCATGGGTCCGTTCAGTGACTCAAAGTAGGCGAATGGTGTCATGGACGATGAGTCCACTGCTTGTGCATGTCCGCCAGGATCAGACTGCTGGAATCTTTCCGCGCGCGACCGCGATGAAGAGCCGAGTCGCAAGCCTTGGGGAAAGGAGCGGAGAGACTGTCTCTCGGCTTGAGGGTCGGTCGAGGCTGCTGCGGACATATCAAATGACTGATACGACTGGCGGTGTGCAGCATGCTCTTTACCTTGGCGATCTCGCTGATACACGCTATGCATGGAGGAGGAGGAAGGTGACGCCGGAGACTGGGCAAGAGCAGATCTACCTAGCGCCGGCTGTGTATGCACGGCATTGCCAATGCCTTGGAATGGGCTGGACGGGTTTGCATTGTACGAAGAGCCAGCGGGACTTGCTGCGCTCAATGCTTGCGGCTGATTTACGCTGGCTTGAGTCCCCTGAAGGCCCGACAAGATCTGAAGAAGCTGCGGTAGACTTTGATTTTGAGTCACTTGAGCAAGCTGAGTCAAGAATGTCAAGACGGCCGGATGGAGTGCGGGCTGTGCTTGATTCGCGGCAATGCCACCCGCCACGTACTGCTGAAGCTCGCTGCCATCCTTGACAGTGGCAGAGGGCGTAAAAGCGGAAGGACTGGAAGCAGGACCAGCTTGCGACGCAAAAGCATTTTCGAAGTGTCGAGGAAAGCTGCGAGGCGAGACATGATCCGATGCTTGGGTGCCAGCGTCGTCGAAAGGAGCGGTCTTGGTGGGCGGTTGGTATCGCGCAGCACATTGTCTGGCTAGCTCCTGTCGCTTCATCTCTTGCAGTGTGATCAAGCTAGACGCTTGCAAGTCGGTCCCTTGAGCGGCCAGGTCTCGCTCGGCAGCTTCAATGTCCTCCAGGCTCCACGTCAATTCATCCAGTTGCGCAGCTGCTATCCGCGAGGAGCCAGAGCCAGTCGTCTCGCCGAATGACTGATTTGAAGGTGGCGACTTGACTATGGGCCATAGCTTGGCATGCTGCGTTGTGTTCATCTGACTGGCAGTTCGCTCGCTCGGCCGACGCAATGGCTGCGTAGAGATGGAGAATGTCAGCGTACGTCTGTGCTAAGTATGAGGAAGAGCGAGGTCAATGCTCTGCTCACCAGGGAGTCTGCCCGCTCTTTGCCCTTGCCCGACACCGCCGTTGCGGTCTGCAATCGTCTCGTTGCCGAGGCAAACGCTCGTTGAGCCCTGCGCTCCTCGAGCAGGGCCCGTCGCGCCTGGGCAGCGCTGAGCAGCTTTTCGCCGACCGCATCGTTGTACTCGGGCAGAGGAAGGAGGTGCACAGGCTTGGCCTTGCTTCGCTCAAGAACATCCACAGTGTACCTTGCACGCTTGGCGAAATGCTGCCTTCCCTCGCTCCTCACATCCTCGTCCTCCGTTGCCTAAAGGTAGCGTGAGTAGCGAATGTATGCGCGTCAGTGGTTCTCTGCGCGCTTTCCTCGCGCAGCTTCAGCAAGAGCAGACGCGAGACTCACGTCTACCGTTTGATTTCGCACTCCCCACATTCTCCATCCCAAATTCGATAGCCGCTCTCCGTGCTCGATGAGCGTGGGGTGATGTGATGTCGCTTGCCAGACTTGAGCCATGGACGAAGCATCTCCGAGTGTGGAATATGGCGCAAAGGGCTTGTTCTGCGGCAAGGTGAGCCATGCCTCTGTCAGCTCTCATCAGCCTGCAGCTTTGAGCACATCCAGCGACAAGTGCAGCGAAAGCTAATCTGTTTGCCATGAAGAAGGCGCTGACAGCGAGAGGCATGCCCCAGCAATTCGAATACTCACACCCTTGATCTTGAGGAGGACCATCGCTGCATGGGGGCCACAAGGCAGCTGCGCCTAAACTTGCCGTCGATCGGGACCCCTCGTATCCGCTTGGCTATCGCTACACAGCGAGCTGCCTGACTGCGGCTGTCGTATGATGTTTCTGAGCCTTTGCTTGCACACTTTGCTCCGCTCAGGATCCCAAGCTTTGGAATGACAAGTCTGAGGCAAAGCTAATCTGGCGCGGTGCCGTTGCGGTTGCGCGCGCTGCGCACGCGTGCGCGATTTTATCTAACGGATCAGATATCTTCCTTCTTTTCTGCGCGCGCGTGGCCGCAGGCGTGCGTGCGTGCGTCGCTGGAGCCTGCGCCTGTATAGTCGAGCAGCTGAATTGAGGTGAGCTGCGTGCGAGCAGAGTGACAATGTTCAAGAGGAGGGGGAAAGACGGCGTGTATCGTACGGCGAGGCGGAGTGTGATGTGAGTTGGAGTAATGTTCATGAATCGCAAGTGACTTTGAGGTGAGCGATGAGTGCGCGACGAGCCGCAAGAGGAAGCGGAATTAACGATTCTTAGCTTCTTCCGCGTGCATCTCATTCATCTCCTTCACGAGTCGTCAAGGCCAAGCAAGCGCTCAAAGGAGTCGATCGTGAGTCACGAGCGTGAGTCGGGCTCAGGTCAGCAAAAAAAGCCGTGCGTCCTTCTGCCCTCGCTTCATCAAACTTGCGCCGATCAGCAGCGCCGAAGCTGTGCTGCGCGAGTCAAAGGAGCCGAGTCACAGGTCTTGAACACCGCATACAGCCCCATGCAGTTTACACTGTGTGTGGTTGCATGATCCGAACTTGCACTGCGCAACTGTCAATGCACTGAAGCTGCAGCTCGAGCTGCGTCACTACCCGTACCTTGTCTTGGCAGGTCGGGGGTCGAGCCGCGTGCGTCGCCTTGCGAAGAAAAAAAAAAAAAAAAAAAAAAAAAAAAAAAAAAAAAAAAACAAGGTGCTGCAGTGCTCCAGGGCCACGGCAAGCATGCCGTGTAGTGACAGACAATGTCACTATACGCATAATCTGCAGCTTCGAGTATGCTCACAGCGCCCCTCTTTGCTGCTGCATGGGAAATATGAAGCCCTTCTTCGTCGGGGTGGACGGACATGCAACGAAAGAGCTAGAAGAGAAGCCCCGACCTGGCCCCCCGCTCCGGCTGCACCGCTTGCAACTTGCACCCGCGGCCGGCGGATCAAAAGCATATCAGATTACGAGCCCACACGCGCGCGCGCGCGCGCGTCTGTACGCGCGTGATGCAAACCCACGTGGCAGAGCTTTCATACTTTTGGCCGCGTGTATGCTTGATTCAAGAGGCTGTTTGATCCTGAGGTCACACGGTGGCTGGCCGCGTGTATGCTTGATTCAAGAGGCTGTTTGATCCTGAGATCACACGGTGGCTGCAGCGCTCGATGACATTCTTGATTCGTCGCAAAGATGGCTTTGTGGTTCTGGCTCGCTTGCTGATGCGTGCTCCCCAAGGTGTGAAGAGCCCAATTTTGAATTCGAGCTTGACCCATAGAAATCCAAGAGGGTCACGTGAGTATCGCTGGTCATAGGAAGACAGCTGACCCACCACGTGGCTTGCAGGTCGGCCCGCGCCGGTCGCGCCTGACCCAAGAAGGTCCAGATCTCGGCTGGGTTGGCTGAGAGGGGAGCGAATAGTCAGCAAGCGCATGTCGCTGGCTGGACGGTGGTTGATGCGTGGATGGATGCATGGTTGCCGGTCCCAACGCGAGAGCGGCGGCAGCACTGCACCCACCGTAACCTTTGCAACGCGAAAGGAAGTTCTGGCTGCTGCTGGGTGGTGCACGTTGGGTCAGATCGCACCACGTAACACCGCACAACAATCTGAATCGTGAATCACGAAACGGGAACTGGAAAGTCACGGGCCGAACACTTGACAGCTTTCCTATCGCATCACCAGTTGTTCATACCTTTTCACCACAATAGCCCAACGCGTGACAATCCTTCACTCACTCGTCAGAAACACAGGCGAAGGCATGATGTCGTCCAGTAACTGCAACAACGAGCAATCGCAGGTGCAGGAGGAGGAGCTGCAACAAACCTCTTCTTCCTCTTCGCTCTTCTCATCCTTGTCCGATGCCTTCTCTTCCTTCATGACTCCGGTCTACGCTGACGAGGTGAGTCTTCGTCGGACCGCAGCAAGGAGTTCAGCCGCGAGCGGTGGCTAGGGACAGCTCTGACTAGGATACCATGCGTCATGCGACATTCTATAGGACAAGGAGGAAGAGTCTGAGGAGGGGCAATCTGGAGAAGAGGGCGGCGAGGTGAGTGATCGACAAGCAGAATGCGCTAGTAGCGCAATAATGGAAGGCTGACAAGTGCGTCCACTCCATTGGCGATTTGCGTCCCTCAGGAGGGTGGCGAGGAAGGAGGCGAGGCAGAAGAGGAGGAGGAGGAGGAGCCAGAGGATGTGAGTGCTCAGGATGGCGAGCGTACAGCGTAGCGATGATGCTGCGAGGACATCATCTGACGAATCTTGAGCGGCATCTGCTCTTGGTCCACTTGCGCAGGAGTACCCCGCTATCTACGAAGGTGAGTCGCTAGCATTGAGAGGCTTACACAGGGAGGAGGCAATATATGCTCACTGCACCACGTGTGCATCTCCTGACTGCAGAATGCGAGAACTCAAAAGGCTGCGCACCTACCAAGCACCACTTCGAGGAGTGCCAGCAAAGAGTGCAGGATGGCAAGGGCTTCAAGGACGAAAACTGCGTAGAGGAGTTCTGTGAGTCCGCGGAAGCGTCAATGGTTTCGGTGTCTGGGGATCGAGATGAAGAGGCAGACTGCTTGACAAGTCCAGCACGTCGACCAAGTGGCAGAGCTGTGATGTACAGGGGCAAGGTCAGACAGAAGGGGGCCAGCTTTTAGCTCTGCGTAGCTCCGCCAACTCAATGAGCCGCACGTCAGCTTGAAGACATTTCAGCTGCTGATCCGACATTTGCTGACGTTGTGTCACTCGCTTTCCTCTTCATGCTCAGTCCACTTGGCACACTGCGCCTCAGAGTGCAGCGCTCCGTGAGTCACTAACATCGGAAGCTTCGCGCTCGTTCTTCGCATCTTGTGCTGATATGCTGTCCGGCGCGACGCTCTTCTGGCCTACAGTCGTATCTTTAGCAAGCTGCGTTAAGCACACGCCATGCTGGGTGCACGTCTGCCCAATTTAGGACGACAGGCTTCGATCTGGTCTGGTACTGCATGCTATCCGGTGCCGAACGCAAATAGAGCACCCATGCGATCGTCTTGAGAGCTGCGGCAAGCGCTACGAAATCGAGATGTTCATACAGTCCGCATTCGTTGTCGAGTGCCAAGCGGGATGGAGATGCGTGCGCCTTATCCGTCGCGGTGGGGGATCGCGGACTGACTCGCAACCCAGTGGTCGTTAATGCAAGACGACAAGGTGTGGCATCATGCCTCTGAATCGCTACCTGCTTCGAGCTTCGAATCCCTTGTCGTGTCTGAGGCGGCGCCTCATGCAAATTGCGCCTCACGCTAGGCCCTACCGCGCCGTGCTCGATGTTTCGGGGTAAAGAATCACCGTAAAAGTCATCCTGCTCACACTCGGTGCGCATGACCTTTGCCATACCGAGATGACGCAACACCCTACGGCTCTGCAAGCTCACGAAGACAGAGCACGACAAATGACGCGCATGTGATTTACGGCTTGTGCGAAGCAGATGCGCGCAGTGGCCTCTCATGATGTGTGCGTACTGCCGCTTTCAGATACCTTGCTTCGTGTCGAAGCGGCAGCAGGTTCCCTCTCAGCTGCGAAGATATCACCCAGATCGTAGCGCTTGATGATGCTGAATGCGCAAAAAAAACAAAAAAACAGTCCACGAGGCGTCAGTGGTGGGTCGGTGTGAGCCATTCGGCCACGGCCCATCGCGAGCGGAAATGCGTGGTAGCAATGCAAATCCCTCTCCAGCTTTGGCTTCGTGGTAGGATGACTGGCGCAGCAGCAGCAGAAGACTCACTTTGCTTCGTAAGGATGCTCCTCATCGGGAAAGATCTTCAACCTTTCCAATCGCCTATCCCTCAATCTGTTCTTTGGCAACATGCCTGACACGGCTTTACGGATGATCTGGTGTTTGGAGAAGGCGGACGAAGGGAGGCGGGGATGAGCGTCAGCAGGGTGAGTAGTGCTATGGTAGGGTGCGAGAGGCGATAGTCTTCATCTCCAATTCTCGGCTGGATCCTGCAACATGCTGCGTGATGCGATCCCGTCCAGCTCTGATTCAAAGGCTTGATGCGCGCATTCCCTCGCAGCTTCACCTCAATGGCATGCGCCGCCCCGTTTCTGCTGCGCTGGAAGCACGACTCACCTCATCGGGCTTCTTTTGCATCATCGTAGCATACGAAATTTCCTTTAATCCGCCAGGATACATGGTGTGATGCCTATACACCATCTGCTGATCCTTCTTTCCCGTCACCAACACATGCCTAGCATTCGTGACGACGACATAATCGCCGCTATCCAAAGACTGATCGTATACACCTCTCGGCTTGTGCTTGCCGACCAAGACGTTCGCTATGGACGCCGCTAATTTGCCTAGGACCCGATCCCGCGCAGAGACGTGGTGCCAAGCTCTTGTGAAGGCGAGTGTGGTCTGCGCAGAGAAGGGCAGATATCGCAGTGTGGTCAGGCATTGGAGCGTGAAAGGCCAGCAGCCAAAGGGTGCAAAACTCACATTTCCTACCCCTTGAGACATTTTGGTTGCGCGCTGCGGAAGCTGCCTTGATGTACCACCGAGCCGAGGGTGCTGCGATCCAAAACACAATGCAGGCAGACGTCCTTTACGCGAGAAACTGTTTCGTTTCGGAGGGTCGCCTGTGACAGCGCGCGCACCTGGCCCCTTGACGCAACACGCAGCACCAGGTGAAGGTTGTCGGAAGAGAGGGAAAGAAAGGATAGAGGAATCTGATCCGCTTTGGCAAATGTAGAAACAATCTTGAATGCTACGTTGACCAAGGGTTAGAAGCGTACATCTACATGTGAGGGTCGCAGATGTCGCGAGTACCGACGAGCTACGAGCATCCTGACTCGAGACTCAACTGGAGATTGAGGATTTCTCACACGACACGTGATCAGACTCGATCGATCTTCGCCCGCGCGGGGTTTGCGAGCACGTCTTTGAAGCAGACTCATGATGATCAGACTGTTCTCGACGCGTCACGATCCAAATTGAGAAATCCGCGGAAATCGAGGATAGCTTGAGATCGCGTGCACGCTAACACCCACGCAGTCGAGCGCTCCACACACATAACGTCCGTCCAGTCCATTGCATCCATCCACCATGCGTCCGCGCTCACAGTCTACGCTTCCCTGCATGCAGCAGCTTGCTTATTTGTTTTTGCACGAGCCTCGCCCAGCTTCGACGGGGATTTGATGGGGTTATTGTGCTGCACCTGCTTCCATCCTTGTGAGCTGCTTGTCTCTTCCATCAAGCAACTCTCCAGGGAGGGGCATTGGAGCTGTAAGGCGATCCACGCCGTGGCATGCAGGGCTGCGTGAAAGGTACGATCGAGGAGCGGGCAAGTCACACCCATTCGATCGTGATTCGTGCCTGCTGGTCAAGCAAGGCAAGCATGCAACGCCTGCAGCTATATAACAGCGAAGCGCATCGGAATAAATCACTCGCGCGTCTGATCTACGACCATTCGATCGCGATTGATGGAGGGAGCAAAGCACCCTGCTGGCACGAGCGCAGCGCACGCAGACGAGCCAGTCCCCGCATTCTGAAAGAGAAAGGAGAAGCACGGGAAGCAGCAGGCAGGCAGGCAGGCAGGCAGGCACTCGTCAAGCTCGAGGTTCGCAGCTAGCCGCACAACCTCATTGGGACGCTGTGCAAAATCACTCACGACGGGCAATCGGCCCCCCCGCACTTTTGTAGCCAATGGCGCTGCTCGTGGAACAGCCATTTCCAGCTCTCGGATATTGTGACGTGCAAACACAGGAGAGGCGTGTGACTGCCTAATCAGCCGCGTAGCGTACCAGGAGGGCGGGCATAAGTACCCACTATCGTCGGGCGATACTTCCCAGAAATGCGCGCGCGCACCAGGGGTACAGTACATGCGAGGTCAAAAACGAGCGACGCCCCTCCATCACGATGATTGTCGTCGGAGTGCTTACCTACTAACGCCTCCCGAATGAAGTGCTTGAGCGCCAAGCTTGCGCTGCAGTCTCAATTCTTTGCTTCTCGCCATTCGTGCAGCATCCCACACCTTGGGCGTCGCCTCAGAGTGCCCCGGATAGGGCGGGCCGAGGTGGAGCGGTAGCTCAGGACTTGATTTGGCGATCCGGCGATCCGTGTTGTTCCCATCCCGCACATCGTCTGCAGAGAGGGGTCGAAGCACTTTGCAATTTGTTGCATGGCATTGATGATCTGCGTATGGTTTTGATCCTCACTCGTCCTCACCATCTAGCTCATCCCTTACCGCTTGAGAAGCTTGCAATCCTCCTTGCTCTCCGTTGCCCTTCACCGTCTGCTATACCACACTCTCGGACCATTTCATCATGCGTGCCTCGCCCATCTCCTTCCTCCTTTCCGCCTTGCTCCTCTGTCTTGCTGCTGTGAGCGTTCAGGCAGCCACTTGCGACAACAAGTGCAGAGAGCGTGGTCTAGCAGCCTACATCAAAGCCATCGTCAGTCACAAGAAGGAGGATGCGGATGCGTGAGTAGGACTCCTGACTCTCAAGGCCTCGGACGTCTTTCCGCCGTAGGCGAAACCTAACAAGTTCGCTCCACACAGCATACCCTTGAAGGATCCCTTCGCTCGCTTCGAGGTGAGGCAGCCGAGGAGGGTGTCGGTAGCCCAGCACTCCGCAGCTGATCCTCTCTTCGCATCGTCAACCGTTCTCAGTCATTCAATGGGCTTGGTCCATTCCAGACCGCCGCTTCTGCCGCCGAGCTCCGCCGGACCACGCAGCTCGGAGCGAGCACGTTGGCCTACAAATCTTCCGAGATCAAGTTCACCCATTACAACAATCAGACCGTTCGCGGAGAGTATGTGCTGGTGCGTTGGGCCAAATGTTTGGATTTGCACGTAATGCTGGCTGGGTCCATTCACGCGCATCACGAGCTGAAATACTTCTCTTATCTGGTCACCGTCGAAACCGACCCCGCAGAGCATCGGCCTGCTCAGTGGCGTCGTTCCCATCACCACCACTGCTACCACCACGTATGCCAACTTCGACGGCAAGAACATCCAGCGCATCGACATATACACCCAATCTCCGGCTCCAAAGTGAACATGCCCCCCGTCTTTGCGGTCCGTCATGGGAAGTCACGCGTAGTCTGTGCCTCAAACTAATCGCTACCTGATACGCGGCCGACCGAGTTTGCCTTGGAGGCGCAGAAGCCCACCCCTTTCCCTCTTTTCTCTATGCGCACTCGAGTATGACAGTGCTATGTATCTGATTATGCTTCGGGACAAAGAATGTGGTATGTACACGGTTTTGAGCCTTCTCAAAAGGCTTTTGCGACACTCTTGTTGATGTTTGCAAGGCTGGAGTCGAGGCAGGTAGGAGACGTGTAAGGAGCGAGGATTTTCAGACGGTAGCAGTCGCAGAGAAAGGGAAGCGGTCATCGGATCGAGCATCTCGTTTACGAGACAGAAGAGACCTTAGACCTCCATCGTTGTGGTAGTGTCGTTGCTCGAATCTCTGCTGCCGTCCCCTCGGGGACGCGCGTAAGCGGCCCTAGGTGCGCGCAAAGAGGGAGCCGCAGAAGACATGCTGGAGCCGAGGCTCAGATCGGGGGAGCCTTTTGCCAAGTCGCCAGCGCTGCCGGACGTCTTCGGTAGATCGGTAATGGCAGTAAAAGGTGCGCGTCTTCTTCTGCGACGCGGAGCGATGGGAGCACCTTCCCAGGCTTCGCCAGCAGGGACCGACTCGCCTTTCATCACGAGCGAAAGACTTCCCAACTGGCCTCCCTCGGCAATTCGACTGTTCGGAAGCAGGATGCTGTATGGCATCATTGTAGCTCTGCTCTCCAAGTCGACTCGATCCATACCCATTCGGCGATCTTGGAATAGATGCGTCTGCGGACCAGCATGCCGGTTGATCACTGCCTCGTCTCCAAGGCTGACCAAGTCGTACTCGGTAATGTCCATGCTCAGCATGGTCACCTTCTTGCCGATCTGGACACCTAGTAGTCTGAAGCACCAGGGCAAAAAGGGAGTGCCGACGAGCTTGGCCGTAAGCAAGGGCATGGCAAGTGTCTCGTACGTCGAGGTGACAAATTCCGACAGCCAGACGTTCTTGGACCATAGTGGCCATTCTGCCGGCTTGTACACTCCCACGAGAGTCCACTTGGCCAGCACGGTAAAGAGGAAGCCCGGCAGAGCAAAGAGGAAGAAGAAGAAGAGGGGCAGCATCAAGCAAGTCTGCACAACGCCGATGTAGGGGTAGGCCGTCTCGAAAATCTCCAGGCCGTACCCAAGCCCGAAAACAATGAGGGCTCGTGGAAGCACGATGCGCAACCCCTCGATGAAGAGGCGAAGCGCGACTTGCCATGCCTTGGGACTGTAGAGCAGGTGGTCTGCGTAGCACGTTGCGCCTTGAGCTCGAGCTGGCATCATCACTGGTGGGCTTCCAAAGCAGCTTTGTCCTTCTTGAAGCGGTTTCTCGGCCGGTGGGGCGATCGACAAAACGCCCACGAGGGTGTTCGATGCCAGGTGAGTGCCTTGCGGCAGTAGAGACGCATTGCCAGCAAATGCGCGAGGAGCGAGCGTTGTCTTCTTGAGCTTCAACGTGCTGTGTCGCACGTCGGTGTCGCCCATGAGCACTCCGTCCGCGATGAAAGACTCGTCGCCAATCTCCGTGAGCTCGAAGTTGATGCCACGAGCAGTGGACACCTCGGCCATTCTTCCGATCTTGACGCCAAGGGCTCGCAGGAATGGCACAACATACAGAGTAGCATAGACCGGGTGCAAGACGCTGAGAGACATGTCCATGATCCGGTCTGTAGCCCATTTGCGGAAGTAGAAGACCGAAGTTGTTCGATGCGTGCCTTCACGCAGAGGGCCCAGGACGATCCACCTAAAGATGACGAGCTCGAGGAAGACGAGGCAGAGGTAGGCGAGGGCGGCAGGCACGGCGACAATTCCGGTCTGCTGCCAGTCGTTGAGGTGGCGTATGTTGAGCACCTCAAACATGAGCAGACTGGGGATTTGAGGCGCGAAGTAGAGGATTGGGAAGACAAATACTACCGTGAAAGACATTGCCAATCCCATCAATGAGCGTCGCAGATCACCCGGTCGAGTCTGTCTCATGTTGCCGACATCTTGACTCTCAGCGAGGAGCTGCGCCGGAGATCCATGCCAGCGCTGAGCAGCCGGGATGCGCATGCCATCCGGAACCATCGTCATTGCTGCTACCTCGGCGCCGTCCTCGATGCTTGCGCCACCCTCGATGACGCTGTTGGATCCGACGCGCGCGTCGTTGCCTATTCGGAGTGGCTTCAGGATTAGTCGACCGCGCTCCACAATGCTCGTCGATAGGACGACGTCTTGACCAATGACTACGTCATCGCCGATCTCGATGAGGTCAAGAGCCGCTCCGGTAGTGATGAATCCCAAGTGACAGTGAGAGCCTACGCGAGCGCCCAGACCGCGTAAAATGCTTGGCATCAAGACAGTGTCGGCAATGTTGTGTAAGTCTGCAAGCTCCACAAAGCGTTCGGCGAGCCACCATCGGTAGTAGTAGAGCCCGTAAAGAGGATATTCGCCCGGCTTCGCTTTCCCGAGGGCTAGCCATTTGCCCAGTACGCCGACTAAGGACAAGAAGATGGGCAAAGCAATGAAGACCGCATAAGTTGAGACAATCGCGGCGCCAATTCCCCTACCGTGAAGAGCGACGAAGAAGATGAGATAGGGTACTAGGTACTCGATGGATTGAATGAACCAAAAGAATAGCAGCGCCGGTACTTGGAAAAAGCCACACAGCCAGTAACGTAGCGTCGAGACTTCCCAATGCTCGCCGGTCTGCGCTCCGGAAGGTCCACTCAAGCTCGAAGCTCCGTGCTTCTCATCTGTGCCATCATAGTCGGAGCCGCTGTCGTCGTCCTCACTTTGTGCGGCAAAGCGAGCCGAAATTTGCTGAGCTGTGCGGTACAAATAGATGTCTTGCATTCCGATGGTACGGAGGGGAGACTCTAAGGGGCATTCTTTTCGCAACTTAGACACAAGCATTGCAGCCGCAAGACTGTGACCACCGAGGTCGTCGAAGAAGTCGCTACTCGGCAGGATGGGAGCTGCTTGTGGGAAAACTGCTGAGAGCGCTCTAAGAAGGACGCCGAGCTCGGAAGCTGGGTCGATAGCAGCAAGCTCGCTGCCTGCCTTCTCAGTTGCGAGTTCCTGCGCAGCTGCTTGCCGAGCCTTCTCTTCGTCTGCCTTGACCTTCGAAACCTCTTGAAGAGCCTTGGCATTAATCTTGCCGCTAGGCAGGCGAGGCATCTCGTCGGCACCAAGAACAAAGAAGGCCTCGGGCTGCATGTACGAAGGCAAGCCACTGAGAGAGCCCCTGAATGCTCTTGAGTCGACGCTAGCAGAGGCTGCGTCCGGTCGGCGCATGACGAGGTACGCCTCCAAGCGATTGCTCACTCCAGAAAGAATGACGGCCGCCGTCTGAACGTCCGGGTGAAGCGCCAGCGCATTTTCGATTTCTCCGAGTTCGATACGGAAGCCCCGGTGCTTGACTTGAGTGTCAATACGACCTAGAAAGAGAAGGTTGTGGTTGGAATCCAATTTGACGCGGTCTCCTGTCCGATAGATACGCTCGGTAGTCCCTTGCCAGAGCGGGTGGGGTATGAACTTCTCCGCTGTGAGCTCTGGTCGACCTACATAACCGTTGCCAACGCAAGGACCGCCGATGGCAAGTTCTCCCTCGGCACCTGCGACGAGAGCTAGAGGCTCTTTGGGAACTGCATCGCTGCTGTCATAGTCGTCAGCGATGGGAAGAAGAAGGGCGTGGTAGGAGGGCAAAGGCTTGCCGATCGTAACGGCTTCGTTAGGAAACAATTCTTGGATCGTGGCTGTGACTGTAGTTTCGCTGGGACCATAGGTGTTCCAGATGCGAAGATTCGGATGCCAGAGTCGGTTCACCAGGGCTGGAGGGCATGCTTCGCCCCCCAGATTGAGGAGTCGGACAGAAGGCGGAAGACTGCATTCATCATCTAGCGACGTCATGATGTTGATCAAGGTGGGCACGGCATTTACTACGGTGACTCCACGTTTAGCCCAGACGCCGTGAGCGCCACCGAGTCCAGGAACGTTTTGACACTCTGTGCGGCTACCAATAGCCAAGTGTGCTCCACCAGCTATGCTCACCCAGCTTCTCAGATGTAAAACGACAAGGTCAGCTGTCGCGCCATAAAGTATCTCGAATGTCTCGAGCAAGAACTCACGTTTCCTCGATGCTCATATCGAATGCGAAGGAGAAGCCTTGCCAGACAATGTCTTCTGGACCAGTCTCAAGCAGCAGCCGCTCAGAAAGGCTGAACACCAATGCTGCACCGTGGGAAATTTCGATCCCCTTCGGTTTGCCGGTAGAGCCCGAGGTGTAAATCATGTATGCCGCGTCGGTCGACCGAGGATATCGTGGTCGCGACGAAGTGGTCGGGGAAGACTTGCGCGCTTCAGCGATCAAGTCGTCGATGAGGACCACCGACATGGTGTGCGGTGCATTGGCGGCTGCTTGCTTCGCAGCATCAAAATGCGCAGCGTCGCAAAGCAAGACTGCTGCTCGACTGTCGTCCAGACACGCGGTTACTCGCGAGGTAGGAGCATCGGCATCGAAAGGCAACCATGTCGCTCCGCAGAAAGTGGAAGTGTGCATTGCCAGATGCAGCTCGATCGACTTTTCAAACCAAATGCCGACTACAGGTGCGCGCTGCTGAGAAGTCGAGGCAGCACCGTGAAAGTGAAGGAACAGACGGTCCAGAGCGTCCGCGAGACCAAGGACTTGTTCGTAGACTTCACGGTACGACTTCTGAATTACGTCGGCGCCTTCTTCACGACGGAAAGAGTAAAGAGTGGCGCTGGGCCGTGCCCTTGCTTGCCATTCGAAGAGGTCCGGCAATGTTTGGACTCCATCGGGGGCAGCCGGCGCGTCTCGCGATGTCGCGCTGAAGAGGATGCGGTCGGCAACTGCCATTGCGACTCTGCTTGACTGCTGCAGTCGTGACGGAGCTTTCGAATACTTGGAGTCGGCGAGAAAGACGAGAAGCGTTTCTAGCACGACGTTGGAGTGTCAGTCCAGAGCGATGTGCTGCTGCGTCGAGCAATAGACTTATAGGTGTGCGAGCGACAGACTTACAGGTGTGCCAGACGGGAGAGGGCTGGCAAACTTTGTGCCGTAAGGCACTTGGCGTGCGAAATTAACAGCATCAGGAACGTTGAGCATGTCATGCTTTGAGACTTGTACCAGCAGATCCTCCTCGTGTAGCAAACATGATTCAGAGGCAACTCCCGCTCACGTAAAGAGTTCAATTGACGGGCATCCTATGCCAAGGTGAAGCCGGAAAGCCGTGGGGCAGCTTGCGCAGCTTAAGCCCAGAATTGGGCGGATGTGCCGCACTGTCCGGCGCAAAGCACCGTTGATGCGGTGCAAAGTAAAGGTTAAGAAACGTGCGAAGCCGAGACGCAGTCCGCGACCCACATTGTTTCCTCCGACGATTGCAATGGCGCCATCGACGTGAACGAGGCGGTGACAACGCACCTTCTCAGCCAAGCCGTTCGCTCGTTTTCACAATCCTGATCCACAGGGGAGCATGTCGCTTCTGCACCGTTCGGCAAAGCAGCGTATGCTGTACGTGCCTCCTGATCGGAGTCAAAGTTTTTCAACAGTCATTGACGTTGCGCTCCAAGGGTCTACCTTCTGGGGTCGCTAAGTCCTTTGCTCCGATCCCGGCCATACGTGCTTGCACGGATCCTGCTCGCACTGCTTGACACAAGTCGATTCAACCTTTGACTTTTGAGACCTGAAGCATCTCTTCTTCTGCCGACGTGATCAGCCGGCTCCTTGGGTCTCAAAGCCTGCCCCGTGCTGAGCGGTGAGCCGCCCTTCAGATGAGATTCATGTCAGCGTTGCTGGCGGCTCTCCGAGGAATGGCGCCATGTGCATACACTCTAAGACCATCCGGAGTCCCAAAAATAGCCAACGTGCGGCATTCCGTGCACGTTCCTCAGGCGTTGCCGGCGGTGATCGGCGGGACGGACCCGTCTGTGCGCAGAGCTTCCATTTGCCATGCCATTGGCACAGGGTCAGCTTTTGTCTGAGCAGCGGCGCATGGTACAGATGCCTTCGTCTGGAGGGGAAAGAACAAGTGCTGATTGATGTACGTATAGAAGCAGCATGTCCGCCGCGGAGTAAACACACGCTATGCGGACATCCTGCAACCGACAAGAGAAGATCTCAAACGAAATGGCTGCCCGGGGTTGGCGAGAGTGTGAAGGTAAAGTTCTCAAACGATCATGATGCGCTCCATGCAACTGTTGTGCCTCTATGCAGGCAGGGCTGCTGCGTTTGCTCAACGGTGCCGCGCGCGTACGGCATTCTGCGACACGCCCCCGAAAGCAATGCCATGCCGGCTGCCTCGGCAGCGGAGTGCAAATGAGTTGCGACATGAGATCTTGCATTCTGCACGTGAACATCGCACGCCACGGCAAGACGTGCCCCGCAAAAAAGCGTCATCAGCTATGCTTGATGTTTGATCCTGCTTATGAAACGAAATTCACACTTCACAATTGTCATCAAGAAACACGAACTTACATGGGCTTGGCGACTGGACTCTTCGCGCGAGTGAGTCTGAGACATTCCAGCCCTTGTTATTGGCCTGATGAGCGAGTCTAGCTCGCTCGACGTGCCGCACACGTTCATGGCCTTGCACTGGCTCGAGCCTTTCTTGCTCTAAATACAGAAGGTTCAATGCCTTTGGTGTCAATACTTTGGCCCTTCCTCCTCACTCTACGAATGCGCCTCAAAGTGAGCTTGTACCACGCAATTTAGCGTGGTCAATCGCCAGCTGGAGCTCGACCAGATCGGCGTGCCGTGTGGCTTGCCTGACGCATATATCCTGCCGAGGAACGCTAATTTAGCGTTCAATCCGTCTCAGCTGCAAACGTCTCTCGATCGAGCAGCAGGAATCTATTGCGGTTGAAGTCTCTCCCCCAAGAACGCTGGGTCACATCCATATATCGAACTCTTGCGCATTTAGCACGCCATAAGTCGTCGGCTCTGTGCTGAGCCGAAGTTGCTCAAGCACCCCACAAATCTCGAGATGATCCTGACGTCCCTCGGCCCATGGCATTTGAGAGGTCAAACATATATACCAGCGCACGTCTTTAGGACCGCCGAAGTGGTGTGCGTCGCTGCATCCTGGCCGGCAGAGAAAGAGGCCTCATTCGTAATTTGCGCCGTCATCAGACCTTGACACAAAGCTTTCTGGCTCACGCTCACACCCGGGACACTGCTCACGCGCTGCACCGACCACGACCTTGGGCGTCGCTTGGAGCGAAAGTATGATCAGTTGCGTAACGGAAGCCCGGCTTGGCAAGCGGATGCAGCTTTTCACTGGGTTCCACTCAATTCGACGCGTCATTCAGTCATTCGTTATCCGAGGCTGTGTGCCGACAAGCGCATTCAGAATGGCCTCAAGCTCACGAGCTTGGAGCGCTCGTGTGCGAAGCCGAAGCTAGAGCCCGGTCGAGTATGAGGGAGCAGACGCAATTCAGCTGAACACAAGGAGCGGTCGGCGTCAGGTAGCTCAGATTATGAGTCAAGGGCGGCGCTGACTGTGTTTGGGAAGGGGTTTGAAGGCGCTGATCGTACAATCGTGAAGGTCATGATCTAAGACAGACCATTGCACTCCAACCACTCGAGGCGAGCGCGAACTTTTGACAAGCGTGCCCCCTTCGTTGCATTCAGTGCAGCGCGCCAACAGCTGAGCCTAGACTCAAGACTGACAGTATGGTGTTTACTTGTGAATGCTCATGGCGTTTCTGCTCGAATCTGTGCAAGAAATTCGTCTCTACATTCACGTCAGGCATTATCATGAAAGAGGGACTGATATCCTAGCCACTTTAGACATTTGAATTTTGTTTTTTGAAGGAGGCTCGTCTAAATATGTCGGGCAAGCGCAAGGAGTCGTTCGGACAGGCGTGCCGAGGATGACGGAGTCATTAGTCGACCGGCGAGCTGCGTGCAACGTGCCTGCAAAGCAAGGCATGGCGGAGCTTCGTCTTCCGAATCCTACAGCCGCCAGCGCAGCACTCGAGACTGCTCTGTTTGATCGCCTTTGGTCCGATTCGCTGACGAGGTATGGCCCCTGGCGCGCTGCTCTGCTCTGAGCGTGTCGGTCAGATAGCGGTCATTTGTGTCCTCATGACCTCATGTTCAAGATTACGATTCCCGCATCAGCAGCTCGGAATCTGCCTCTCCTAGAGGTTTTGCATGGCCTGCCAGGGAGATTTGGGTTCACGGAGACGCGTCACGCCTAGCGTCCAAAGTAGAAACCTGTTGTCGTGACGCGCTAACGATGCCGCCGGCTCCATTAGTGCACGACGCCGTCCAGCGTAATGGTGGATGCTGGATCAATCAAGCCAATCGGCGTCAACAGCGTGGGTTCAGGGGTCGTCTTCCTGACGCAACGGCCACTGACTAATTAAGGAGGACATGGGCACATACGTAGCGACATTTGTCTTGTGTGCGCTGCTTCAACCGATCCCAGACGATTGGCAGCCACAGCCGCGAGCCAGCAGTCAACACTCGATCTCATAAGAGGCTTGAATGGGTAAACTGGAGTTACAAGTGTTTCACAGTCATGTACACACGACCTTGCGTGCCTAGCCTGCTGAATCCTTCCAGTGTCGCCACACAACCACCATGCGCGTAGTCTCGCACTCGCACCGCTTCAGCCCCGCAGATGCGGCGACGTGCTGGTGTGTGGCAATCATCTTTGCCATCCTAGCTATCTGCGTTGTCGCCTCAGACACAGCACATCTCCTTGATCTTGATCACGAGCACGTCTCGCCAGACAAGGATCGCGGCGGCACGTCGGCACTCGACCGCACCAGATCCGTCATTGAGCGTCAAAGGAGACAGACTCATTCTCACGTCGAGATGGGCAGAAAAGCGCGTCATCTCCACCACAAGCACGACAGGCCTGTCGCCGCTGTGTATCGCGGACCGGTCGGCTGCGAGGGATGCTCGGAGAGCGTTGCCAAGCTGCTCAGAGATTCGCCTCCCCATTTTCGCGTGCACTATCTTGGTCCTGACGAGACTCACGATGTGTCTCCGCAGACGCTCAGCCACCTCGACCTCTTCGCATGGCCAGGTGGCGGTGATGATCAGAACGCCGACTATCTGAAGGTGGCCAACTACACAAAGGCACTGCGAGACTTTGTCAGTGGTGGCGGCAAGTACGCAGGATTTTGTATGGGTGCCTTCCTGGCAAGAGGACAAGCGAGCAACGAGACATTCTTCGGCCTACTCCCGGAAGGATCATGGGTCAGCTCGGAGCGCTTCGAAAAGAATGCCCAGGTCAAAGGCGATGAAGACACCATCATTCTGACAGACTGGACCTTTCACACTGGTCCCAAAAAAGGAACGACTGAAAGAGATAGATGGCAATACTTTCAAGATGGCGGCCTCGTTCACCTGGGCCCGAACGTCCCGCCTCAAACTATCATCAAAGGGCATTACACTTCCACCAATGACGTCTGCTCAGCCATCATCCCGTACGGCAAAGGTCAGGTCGGACTTGTGGGAGTGCACCCAGAGGCTGGTGAGTACCGGCTCAATGGTGTGTGAAAGACGACGCGCTCTCACGCTCGTCTCCCTCGTCCTTATCTAGACAAAAGTTGGTACTCCGACTGGAACGGAACCAACCCCCAAGGCATCAGGTTCGACATTGGCCACGATTTCATTGACACACTGTGGCGGGCGGACGAGCTTCAGGCCCACCCAGTGCCTAGCACCACTACATCGACGTTGCCAACTGGGACCTCAACCGCACCTACTCGCTAGGGAGCAGAGCCCCTTTGCACACCATCTCATCGACTGCTTCTGCTTGTCTGGAAGCCCGCGACTGCAATAGAGTTTTCTTTTAATGAAATTCGCTGTTCTCGTCCTCTGCCACCGTCCACGTAGGCACCATGAACCCCGCAACCGACATATACGGTGGCGAATAAGAGGCGGTGGGAGCTCCCCATATTCTTGATTGTCGCTGATCCGACAAAAGGGCCATTCGTGAGCGAACGCGGCGAGCCTCTCAGAGAGCAAGGCTGGTCGTAAAAAGCAGAAATCCTGAGTGTCGAGGCTTTTCAACGGGTCGGAGATGCGTCTACGATGGTGTTCCGCGGCACGGGTCCAGACTAGCGTCCGATCAAGTGGCGCTTCCGCGAAAGCCACACGAACTTGCGGTCCTTGAAACCGCAACGCGGGGCGCGCGCAGCCTTCTCGAGCGCGCGTCTTGACTTCGATGTGTGAGCGATGGCCGCGGGGCTCTACCGGCGGAGTGAGGTCGTGTGTCCTTCATGCCGTTTCGTCGTACCCGATGCAGTATTGGCAGCAATTTTGTGATGAACCGTGAATGTATCTAGGCTGTATGGATGGATTGGATGGGATTGGGATGGGATTGGGATGTATATGCCCAACCCTCGTTCTGCGCGCGGCCGCCCCGGGCTGTTGTGATGTGTGGACGTAGGAAAGTAACCTTCGTCTCACTTCACATGCGTCACACAGTCGTTCGCATTCGCAAGGGTCTGAGTTGATATGTAACTGGCACAGCAAGCTTGACCCATGAAAGGGGCTTCATTTCATGCATCGGGTACGTAAGCCTCTCACACCGCGTGGCTGACCTTGGATCGGGTCGCTGTGGAAGCACGAGCTGGTAATACCGCACGGCGAGCGTTGACGGGTCTTGGCGGAGCTGGTGGACCCTTGAGCTGCCATGCATCAGAATGTATTCATTTAGACGCGGATTCTAGAGGTAGCAGAGGTTCAGAAGCGCAGGAAGATACGCACACAGCCGGAACACGACTCAGCTTCGGGGCTTGACCGGCTTTCCAGATGATAGCCATCAGCCACAGGGTAGGGTAAAAGCGGTGGCGCAGCGCCACCCCCAACAGAAATGACGCCTCAATTGGTGATCTGGAGCTGAAGCGATGCTCGTATATGGACGGGTGGCTCGGATCCATATACAGCGGCGGAGGGGAGTGTTCAAAGATCGGCAAGTCTCGGTTGGAGTCGGAGAAACATCCGCCACGACGTTGAGGCTGAAGCAAGCATGCCATAGCTGCTGAGTGTTCGATTGTCATGCACCGACGGGGATGTGGCGTGTGTATGGCGCCGCGGCGAACATAGACTGAGCTCACAGTCACGAAATAAAGCTACAACAGCAACAGCGCAAAGGCGTGTTATACGAGGTATTGCTCGAGCTCTTCGTGCTGCTGATGCTGCTGATTCGCGTGCGTGAGACGTCGAGTCAAGCCACTCACGTCTCAATGGAACTTAAGTGTGGTGAGTTCGCTTCGCCGTTGCTTCGCCGCTATTTCGGGGGGATGATGAGCCGCCGCTACTCCTGACCTCGACTTCTCAACCCGATCATGAGCTTAGCTTCAATTAAGCTTCAGCATGGCGAATCTTGGAGAAAAGAGGCTGCCATGGTCTCTCTGATTACCGCGACGAGAGGCACGTTCCGCCTGACAGCCAACGCTTGAAGCGTCGACGAGTGATGGCCGTCAGGTCGAGGCTTTGAGCGCGCTAAATCGACCCGGACCCCAATCGTGAATGCCAATGATGCTTCTGCTCTTGGTGGTCACACGACGTTTCGTATGTGTGCTTGCCAGCAGCTGTCACCTGGTTGTGTTGCGGACATTGGGATTCGACGGAGCTTCGTGCCAAGCCACAAAAAGAAGCCCAGCCCTGCATGCCTCGCCCCTCGTGCAGCGGCAAGCAGCCAGCATGCAGCAGGCCGCGTGTCTGCGCCACTTTGCGCTAGCCGAGGTCCAGAGCCGCCTCACGTGTCTCGATTCAAGATCATTCAAGAGTTAACCAATTTGAATCATGGATCGAAATGCCCTTCGTCGTCAAAGCCGCCTCAAGAGTCTTTGAGGATGATGAGTGAGTTGTGCTGCTAATCAAGAGTCCATCGAAGGTCCCGTCTCATTCTTTCATGAGCCGACAAACGACTCCCTCAATTCAGTCTTTGACTCGGGTCCTCGACTGCGCCCGTGTAGCAAAGAGTCAAGTCTTGAGTCGGTCAGCACGTCAGCTGAGTTAATTCCGCCGAGCTGACGTGCGCGTGCGCGGTGCACGTTGTCGCGCGCCGATCACGAGGGACAGCCTATGTGCCTGTCTGCAGACCTATTTACGGCAGACAAAACAAAACATCGGCCCGCTACACGATTTGAATCTGAATCTGAATAAGGGAGACGTCTGCTCTGCGCGTGACCATTCGTGATTGAATTGCAAGCTCAGCACCGGCTAACGGATCTCCAGCTGATGGGCTCATCACTCGTGACTCGCAAACCTCGATGAGACTCTTTGGGACATCGAGCACGTAAGCAAAGAGAGCGCTCTTCAGCGCCGCAGACGCACGGTCAACGGTCTCGAGCTGTTGGCCAACGGTGTTCAACGACAACACACCCACACCCACATCCTTTCCCATCTCAACCACGAGTACAACAGGCATCACACCGAGGGAAGCAACAACAAGCCGAGAAACACCCAGTCGCGCCTGGCCTCTACTCTCCTGCTACGCTCACGCCGTCTATGCACCTCTTGCTCTCATCTTTGCAACATCTCACTGCACCTCCGTCACTTTGCTTATCGGCCTTTCGACGTGCCTAGCTAAGCGGTCGTACCATTGGCGTCCCCTTCCGCAACGGCCTGAGCTTGGCTTTCATCGAGCCCGCCATCTGCCTGCCTTGCCTGTCTTACCTTTCCTGGCGTGCACATGCAGGTAACAGTGCTAAGCGTACACACAACCCATCAACACTACGTCACGCGACCTTGGCGAAGGGCTGTGATAGCATTGTCCTGTTGCCTTGCTCAAATAGAGCCCAAGCTGGGCAGTGCATGGGTATCTGTACCCGCCAGCCACTCTCACTTGTTACTAGGACAGGAATGCTAAGCGCAATCTCCACGCCTTCGGCATTGTGAATCACGTTGCTCATTGGCATCATGACTCCAGGTTCGAGCGCGTCGAACGCCGATCTCCTTTCAGCTCCTGCCAGAAGCTATCACACTTCAAGTCACGCTGACGGCTCACCAGGCCTCTCCGCCAGCTCCGGATCTAATAGCAGCAGCGACGGCACGACAACGCCAGCGAAGAATAGAGCAGGTCAGACATCAAAGGCGTCTAGATCGCGCAGCGTGGATGTCGGCGAGGCTATGACGCCTGGTCGAGTGTCAGACAGTGCCCGCACCGCACCTTCCTCTCCTGCTTCAGGAGCACCTTCTGTTGGCCGAACTCTCCAAAATACGTACAAGGCCCTTCAGCTACGAGCGCGGAGGAGTCTGCTGGACTTGCGCGTTGGTGGTAGCGGATCCGCTCGCCGTCATGAGGGGCTACATGGTGCAACTCGCCAGCTCCACCCTCACGCGCGTGACGGCAGTCTTCATCCTCTCCCCGCGAGAACTGCGAGTCAGGGATTCGGGACTAGCGAGAGCAAGCTCGGACGTCGGGCAGCCGATATGGATGGTAGTCTCGGCTCGCTAGTGACACCCACCACCGCGCGTCCGAGCGTTGCAGAGGAGCGCCGAGGGTCGGGTGGGACGGTGAAGGGATCCCGATGGGGCATACGTCCCAGTTCAAGACCCTCCTCCAGCGGATCTGGCGCGGCCAGCTCCACACAAGGGTCATCACCATGGTCAAATCGGCGTAGGAGGGAAAGAGATGAGTCGTCGAGACAGGGAGCTGCGCTGCACACCTCATCGCTCGCGGGATACGGCGCCTCACCGGACGTAGGTGACTATGCAGATGCTCTTGCCATGGGCCCCTCTCCTTCGACCCAGTCGCGCTTATTACCTCCTGTAGACGTTGACGGAAGCGATGCGAGGGCCTTGCAAGGCGTTCAAGCCGGTCCTTCGAACGGCCTAGGTAGTCTAGCCTCTTTCTCCTTCCCGCACGACGCGGCGTTCTTGCGCACACGAGCGCAACCCTTGCAAGGCATGGATGGCGGAATGCGGCATCCAAGCCCTACTGACACGAAGTCAGCCTCGGTGAAGTGGCTTCCAAACTCTCCAACGACCCCGCTGGCTTCGCATTTCAACCATCGCCGTCCTAGCGTCATTGGGCACGCGCATCGAAGCAGTGCAACGAATGCGGAGAGGAGAAGAGCCAGCGACAATCCTCCCTGCACATGTCCTGCTGTGCTACCCCGACGTCACTCTGAGCTTCCTGTGTTGGTCCCATCGTACCTCTCACCCTCACCATCCCGATCCATCCTGGAGCAGCCAAGCGCTGCGAGCCCTGCCCTGTCGAGACGACGCTCAGTGAGGCCAAGTGCGGCGCGGAATAGACTCGTCACGCAGATGGCAAGCTGGGACTTTTGCAGTCTTGATCTCAGCGACGAGGATATCCGCTCTGCATGCGAGATCGTCTTCGAAGCCGTTCTGAGTGCCCCGATACCTCGCAATGTGCTGGACCAGCCGCCGGTCCTTCACGATGCAACTTACTCGGCTCAAACAAGCACATCCACCTCGGAATCGCCCTGGACGACTCTCGGAGAGCATCTCGGCGTGACGATGGACGCTGTGCGACGCGTCTTGGATAGCATCATGGACCTCTATCACTCTTCAAATGCGTATCACAACTTCAATCACGCTGCAGACGTACTTCAAGCTTTGTATGCGCTACTGGTGGACTTGAAAGCCGTTCCAAGCCTCTCACCAACTAGCACGGCAGCTTGGGATCCAGCCTCATCGCCCCTTTCGCCTCAAGACGCGCTTGCACTACTGTTTGCAGCCATTGGTCACGACGCTGGTCATCCTGGACTGTCCAACGCTTATTTGTCCAACGCATCGGCGCCGATAGCGATCGCCTTCAGATGCGGTGCTCCTGAACATGGTAACGCAGAGGAGGGCAAAGCGAAAGACGAAGTCGGCAGCGATGACAGCCTTGTCAAACCAGCAAAGGGCAGTCCGCTGGAGAGCTATCACGCAATCCTCTTCGAGGGCTTGATGGAGCGTTGTGGCTTGGCGCATCTTCTCTGGGCCGAACCGGGCGCTCGATCCGAGTTTGGAGAGGTCATCAGATCCTGCATCCTTGCGACCGACATGGCCATCCACTCCTCCTTCGTAAGCGCTCTCTTCACCTTCGAAGCCCGGCTGTACGACGAGCCTGTCGTCAGTGATGGCAGAGATCGGGCGCAGAGGATTCGTGCACAGCCTCGGAGCGAGCGCACACTGCTTTGCGCAGCTTTGCTGAAATGTGCAGACATCAGCAACCCAGTTCGAGCTCGCAGCGTCGGTCGACGATGGAGCGTCGCACTGCGAAAGGAGTGGGAGCGTCAAAGCGCTCTGGAGGAGGAATGCGGACTTCCTGTCACTGCGGGTGCTGCTAACAAATGCAAGCACAAGAGACGATCGGCTGCTCCGGTATCCATGCCACCTCTTCCTGGTTCTCCCTCAGCCAACGAGGACGGTTTGAGGAGGACAAGCGCTGCGCAGATGGTTGCTCAACTCGGCGGAGGCGGAGGCGCCGCTGCTGAGATTGTGGAAGTAAGCTTGAATGACCTGGCCGCTGCTGGTGAGCTAGAGGAAGAGCGCGCGCTAGCAAGAGGGCAGGTCGCTTTTGTCAACGCTTTTGTAGCGCCGCTGATGGTGGCTATCGCGAAACTTTTGCCGAGTGAGTCAAGCTCCTCTTTGCTCGCGAGCACGTCGAGTCGCTGACCGATGAATCCCGCCCCACGTAGGTCTCGACGCATATCTACAGCTTGCTATCGACAACAAGGCTTTATGGGAGAAGCATCTCGAAGCAGTTGAGGCGCGAATACTTGCGGAGGGGCCTTCAAAACAAAGCTCACCTCCAAGAAACCCATCGATGACCGCTTTATCCATCGCAGACGAGCAACTTGCTCAGCTTCACGGACGTTCTGCGATATCCTTGTCCATGCTGGATAGCGAGAGATTACGACTTCCTTCGATCTTTCTGCCGCCAGTGGGCAATGTTCCTCTGGATGCACAGAGTTGCAGAGAACAGGTGCAGCGAGCTATCGACGACGCTCTTATTGGCGCCGTTCGTGCGTGGAAGGTTCCTGTGCCTGAAGGAGTCACAGCGGATCACCCTCTGATTGCGATTGACGTGGCGGATGCCAGCAAAGCATCGACGGCGGCGACGCCGGACGCGGCAGATGATCGTCAAAGGTGCGCCTCGAGCGCGAGCCTCGCGTCCTCAATTCGCTCGGCGGCGTCGTCGACCCCGGCCACAGCGCACTCTACTTCGACAGCAGCGACGAGCAGCGCATCGGGCGTGTTGGGATTGGGCAAAGTGGATCTCCATTGGTCTGCCCTCAAGTCGCAGCTCACGGCGCCGTCTAGCAGGCATGAAGATTTGTCTGTTGGTCTCGCACCAGCACTACCTCCGATCACTGCTTCAACATCTAGTCTGGAAAGGCCCACATCGTCCCTGTATGACGTTCAAGTGCCTTCCCCAGCGCCTACTCCTGGACATGCTAGTCAGTCGCGGCGAAAAACGCCCATCAGCGTCATGCGTCGGCTTTCTGCGTGGAGCAGCTCCAAATGAGAAGGGTGGCGCGTTGCAAGATCTCCACCAGCGAGGCACTTGCCTACCTCTGAGTCTATACGGACTATCTGCTAGCGCTCCACCCCAACCTCCCTCGGCAACGCATTCACTCTGGTCTCCCCAGTCGCCCACATGGTGCCATCTTCATTTGCGACTTCGCATCGACCTTGCGCGCAAGTCGCTCTAGAGCAGCTCTTCCTCACATGTGCTTCGTTTCGTATCATCAATTCGATGCACTCATTGCAGAGACGTTTGATCATCAGTCACCAGTTGCATCAAATTTGAGCGAGTGGCGAAGGATCACTTTTCGAGAGCAGGCATCCGCGCATTCGGAAAGATGTGAATTCTTGAATGATCTGTCAACTCCAGCTGGGGGACACTGCGATGAACAGATACGATGCGGAAAGATGGCTGGCTTTGAGGGAGTCTCAGAGAAAAGGCGCAAATAAGAGGCAGTGGAAAGGTGGGCGTCGATGGGCGTCTTGGGCTGATTCTGCATGTGCTAGTGTTACAAGATCTCATTGATTCGCTCGATCAAATTCTGACTTGAGCAAATTTGTCAGTGGCCATTCGCGCGAACGTCGTGTGCGCTAAGGGCCTCATCAGCGCGGTCAAGATCACGAGCCGAAAGAGTCTTGGAGCCTAGCAAGCCGGGTGTGCTGATACCGCTCGTGCTTCCAACTGAAGCTCCGCGCACCCTGTTCTTCATGACCAGAGCTGTGAACACAAGCAATGCTTCAAGTCTCAGCACATCGTCCTTCGACCCAGGCACGAGCAGAAATGAACTCACGAAACTTGAAGACTTCTTCGTCTTCATCGTCTTTCGAATCGTTGATGGCCTTCCAGAAAGAGCTGCCCTTGTAATCGCTCGTGGACAGACCCTGCATATCCTGCAAAGCGCCAAGGACAATGCGTCAAAGATTGAATCGCCGGCTACTCGCTGCTCACATATCAGTGCACTCACTTCGCTAAGGGTCGCATAATCGCCAGGAGTGGCCGCTCCTCGGAAACGAGGAGACGCCGGCACGGAGAGGGGCGGACCGACTTTATTCGCAGAGTCGAAGTACCCAGGATCCTCATCTTCGTCCACAAAGGAGTCGGGATAGGCGCGTCTCAACGCGAGCTGCCGCGCCTTGGCATACTCGAGCCCCAGCTTTTTCCAATCGAGCACTGTCGCGCAAGACGTTCTCCTGTCAGATATACTTGGCTTCGGGCCGCTAGACTCAAGCACTCACGTTCAGACAACCTCTCAGTACGGTTGCGCTGGTTGATTCGCTGCCTTCTGGTCTTCATGCAGTATCCCATCATCTGATCTGTCAGCTGATTAACACTGTCCTCCACGCTCTTCATGCGGCGATCAACGATGTAGATGCCATAATCTTCACTGTTCTCGAGGGTGTCTTCCATAAAGCATCCAAAGCCTGACAGATTCGTCGTGATGGAAGGAATGCCCATGACAGTGCATTCAGCAGGAGTCTGTTCGAGAAAGCGTAGAGGTGAGCTGCTGAGAATGTCTGCGCTGGCTGCTTCACAAAGTGCGCTACTCACGTAGCCCCAAGGCTCGTAGTACGATGGGAAGACTCCCAAGTGACATCCTCGCACGAATTCCTCGTAGTCAAGGCCCAGAATGGGGTTGTTTGCATTGAGGAACTCCGGGTGGAAAATCATCTTAACTCGATCATGAGAGCGATTGAAGAGCTGGACGCGTCGGATTTGGTTCAGAATGGGGTCTGCTCCGTCGTCTGCCATGTTGTGGGTAACAACAGGAGGCAGCGAATTACGCTTGAGGGCAAAGATGCGTCGTTTAAGGAGAATGCGATCTTGCTCAGACAGTAATGTCTCAGGATCGACAATGTCCGGGTTTCCCTCGCTGCAGTATCCAGGCACCAAGGAGCGATCAGCACTCGCGGAGAGAATTTTAGTCTCGTGCTCGAACGAGCAGAGTGGACGTACCCATTGTATCTGGCTGTGCGCTCAAAGAGGCGCTCGCCTATGCGCTGCTGGATTTGATCCACAGTGTCACGCAACTGCTTGGTGACTGCCTGTCCCTTGAGCGCTTCGATGGTGTAGCTCTTCGTAGCCGCAGGCATGATGATGAAAGCCACCACAGTCATCTTTGAGCCGGCTTTCTGCAGGCGATGGTTCAGGCGGGCAAGCGACTCGATGAACATGTCTGCTCCCTTGTTCCTGTACTCATAACGTCCAGCAGTGAAGAAATACTATGAGATTTAGGGCGGTAGCGGAAAAACGCGTCGAGGGGTCAGCTTTGCAGCGTGGAGCCAGAATCTGGCGCGTCAAACTGGACTCACAAGGGTGTTATCAAGGTCAAAGTCGTAGTGACCATAGAAGTGCCCCTTGATAAACTCGTTGATCTTTTGTTTGCTCACAGCGTGCAAGTTCTGGAATTCGTGCATCGCAGAAAACTTGACCACGTTCAGCCCATTTGGCAAGACTCCATCAGGCTTCCTCTTGAGCAGGTGCTCCGACTCGTAAGCCGTGATGTGGCTGACCGTAGTGAAGACGTCAGCGCAGTGGGCTGCGCTTCGCTCAATGCAATAGCGATGGTAGATGCCCCTCTTGCCTGCCTCATGATCCACATCAAAGTACTGCAGATTGTTGTAGAAGTCCACAGATCCAGCGCAGAGATATCGACCAAGCAAGGTAGCGTGGGTTGTGAAAATAGTCGTCACGTCAATCCTGCGCTTGCGACACAGCGGAATCGCCAGGCCTGCCTGCCACTCGTGGAAGTGCGCAATAATTGCCCGCTTCTTTTCTTGGATCGCAAACTACAACGAGGACAAGCGCGTCAGGAAAGTCTGTTCGCATGCCTGCAAATCCGTTCTCACGCTCAGCATCATGCAGGACTTCCTGTGCTACTCACCTCGCCTAAAAACCAAGCTACCAGGTAACCAAGGACCAAGGTCTCGTTGGTCTCGTGGTCGTGCGATGGGGTTGGAATTCCTGCAAGGTTCCACAGATCGCCCTTCCATTCGTCCAAGCGATGGTACATGCTACCAGTGTCGAAGAGCAGCACTTTGGGAGCGCGGTCGATCAGCCATCGTCCATATAGGAACTTGACTCCCCTCTCCTTCATGCTGTTGAGTGTGTTTCGCAGCGGCTCATTCTCGGGCTCCATCGCTTCCACTTCCATAGGAGCTGTCTTGTAGGACAAGGGTCCGATTAGACAGTATCGATCCCCATACTCTTGTGCTGTCACTGGGGCTTTAGTCTTGATCACGGTGTAGATACCGCCCACTGTCGATGAGAGCGGGATCAGCGTTAGATGTATGCCGCTGTAGCATGTATGTCTCCGACCCAGCCCAAGAAGGGCTCTCCGAAGCGGACCCGTTCGCCTTCAAAGCAGGACGTTTGCCAGCTTCGCTCACCTTTGTTTGCGACTTCCCATGCGCACTCGAAGAGCAGAGGGTTCCGTACATCGCGAACCACAGGTGCTTGAGACATTGTCGCGGAGTAGTTCGTTCGGGTGCGAGTACGAATGCCGTCGCAAGGGAGCGTAGCGCTACGACAACTTGATGAGACTGACAGTGAAAGCCGGAAGAGAGCGCGGATGTGACGCTTGAGGAGTGTCAATCGAGAATGCTCTCACACATAGGATAAGGGGATGAAAGTTAGGATATGATGGTGGAAGGCTCTCCCCAACGTGTGCTGTGGGGGAGCGAGCGTGTGGAGTCGATCAATTAGTTGGCCCCGGCGCCCACCAGCGCAGCCACATCACCTCACGCCAAACGCTATTCGCGCGTCATAGCTCGACTTGGCTAGCTGCTGGACTTGTGCACAGTTGACGTGAAACTCGTATCACAGACTGTGACTCTTTGGCAGAGCCGCCCGCCCTTACCCCGCCGCAATGAGCGCATCTCGCAAGCTCGCCTCGGCTAACTTCTCGCCCTGCACTTGACTCACCACTCAACTGGTGACTGCGCTGTCCAACCTCCCCACTCAGACTGCTACGACGTGCGTCCGTGCATGCAATCCAAACTACTCGATCACGACCTTGCTACGACTCTGTGCTGGAGCGGCAAGCAGCAGCTGCCATATGCATGAGACGGCGTTGCGCCGCTGGCGCGGCGGGGGCGGGCAGGAACAGCGCAGTCGAGCCACGCCCAGCATGTGCAAGCATATGAGCCAGTCCTTGATCGACCGCAGGCGCGCAGACATGCTGCATGCACGAGCTGGCAGCAGCAGCAGCAGCAGCTGATGCGTGAGATCAAGTTCCTGGGTGATGAGACTTGCCGCGGGGTACAACTTGCCCGAAAAGGCTGCTGGCACCACAACCGCGCGCATAAGACTCGCTGGTATTCAAGCACATGATGCATCACCATCAGCAGCACCACACGCAGCAATGATTGTGAGTGCGTACCTACTGTGGACTGTGCGGTACACTCACGCTTCGTCACTCACACTCAACAAAACAGCTACCTGCACGCTCGACTTCTTCCAGCTTCTCACGGAAGGCGGTCTGCACGATCACCCGTGGCAGGTTGTGAGCAGCAGCGCGCACTGCGCGCTGTCACACCGCTATAGATGAATGACGCACTCAAGCTGCGCATGCATGCATGCATGCGCACGGATCAGTTCGAAGCTGCTGTTGCCGTCTTCGCGCCTGCACTCGCGCCTGCGGAGGCGGCCAATTTGTCCTGTACCGCGCGCTTTGCAGGCAAACTTGTGAACTCACATCGTGGTAGCGAGTAAGTACGGTAGATCCCAGCACCATCACAATATGGCGCGGCCACAGGGGGTGCGACACCGAATTGCCGAAGCAGCTCAATAGAGGCTTGAACATGGCCATCAGAGTCGGAGTGAAGAAAGCAAAGCAAAGCCTGGAATCCTCATCAGGAACTTTGACCCTCCAGAGCAGGCAGGATGGATGGAGGATCTGCGGTCGGAAATTGCCCGCTCGGAAGAATTTCGGGCAAGCTCTGCTCATTGCAGCGTGGAGCTCCGCATTCTCCAACTACGTGTGGGCGTTCGACAGACTGCGCTTGCAGACAGAAGAACCAAGCCAACGCGGCGTACGTGCCCAATAGTCACACTAGCCTCGGGACAGCGAATCAGCACCGTGCCGGTAACCGACAAGGAGGCGAATCATGCTTTTGCCCAGGCGGCTACCAATTCAGCTTTCCTCAAAAGTTCGTGACATATCTGCATTGCCTAGTGTAGGCTGAAAGTTCCAAATTCGCTACGACCAGAATGTTTGGTGGTCAAGCTTCGCTGAGCATGTCGTGCTCATCATCCGATCCTCGCGCGGGGAACATCCGCCTGCGTTGAAGCTACCTCAGTCGATGATCAGAGAGTCTGATGGGTCCTCGGGTGCTCTCACCTGTACTGTACAAGCAGCTGGCGTTCGCGATCGCAAGCAAAATCAGCCTTGACTTCTCTAGTCGGCAGCCAAAGATAAAGGTCAAGACGTCCTTACTTGCTCATGTAGACCAAGATCATCGCTTCTTGCATCCAGTTGTCGCTTGAGGCCCTCAGCAAAATTGAGGGCAGCACTCAAAAATGGCTCCGCCAAGCTTCGCATATTAACGCTGCGAAGTGACTCGCGTCAAGCTATTGTCGTTCTCAATGCTGTACACCACATCGACTCACTGCCAAAGAGTCATCCCACAGTCCCACTGCAGGAGGATTTCCGAACGGGGTACGCGTCAGCAGTTTGCATTCGATACTCCTAACGCCCTGATACTCACAGCTGTCGCTAGGAGCCAGAGGATCTCATCGCGGGGTGGTGTCTGATCATTTCGACGCTGCGCTTCGATCATGTAAGCCACAGCGCTCTGGAATGTTTCCAGTACCTCGACCTCTGGTGGTCCGTTGCCCTCCAAATGCAGCGAGACTAGCGCTCGGATCCACCGGAGATACCTGGCCGGGTCGCTATCGCTCAAAGTGGCAGACAGAGCATCATCAGACCGGATCGTAAGCGCGTCATCCATGAAACAAACACACCTAGTTTCTGCCAACAACCCTATCACTTTGTTCACAGCACGCAGTAGCAAGTCTTTGGGAGTCTCCGGCGACCTCCAGAGCATCTCGGCAGCAGCCTCTGACACGGGAATCTGGGTCATGACCTGCACGAGGATTCTCAGCAAAGACCGAAGCCAGTGAACACTTGGGGGCTACTGACCTGCAAGCTACTTTGTACTCCAGAATAATTGCGTGTGTGGACGTGCGCTTCCCATATGGCCAGCTCGACCGTCAACTGCGGGGTGATTGTAGTGGCTCTGAGCGGCTCTGTATGGGTCGCGGCGATACGGGTACGATCGATACCAGCGCATCTCACCTGCACTTGCTCAGCACGTTTATGGTCTTCCTTTGTAAGCTGTGCACAGCTTTGTGCAACCTGGTGGAGCGTTGCCTTGACTGCCTCACAACGCGCGTAGACCTGCTCCCACTGCTGCGCGTGCGTATTGAGCTTCGCAGACCTCATTGCAGAGTATTGACCGGCGTGACGGGACTCACCAGATCACTCTCGCCGTCACGCCGTCGCGCTTGTACGCAATGTCCCACGAGCGCTGTGACCTGCGCCATCAGCTTCATGCGGAATATTTCGGTCTCGCCGCTGCCCATCATGAATAAGCGCCACATCTCAAAGGCCTGAATTACGAGCGGTCAGTGCGCTCGCATTACATCCGGTCTATGGACATCTGCTTACCTCGCTGGCAATGTCGAACAGTTGAGTGATCAAAGCAGAGTCCACAGAGTCTGCAAGCTGTATAGCGGTGTTGTATGCTGCGTGCGACAAGTGTCAGCAGAGGGCAAAAGACCAACGCGCAACCATGACAGCGCACCAGTCTTCGCCACCCATTCGCACTCTTCGGGTAGCTTCGAGTTGCTGTCTCGACCTTCCAGCCCTGCTTGAAAGATGGCAAGGCCTGGAAAGCGAATACTAGTCAGCAGCGGAGCTGTCCATAACCTAGGGTGCGACTTACTGGACTTGAAGCTGAGAACAAGTTGTTCTGCATCGTGCAACCTGAGGCATTAAAAGGCGTGGATCAGCGGGGGCCCCAGTCCTACCTTTTCGAGAAGGGACTCACCCGAAATTCTGATCGGGCGTTGGCAAGTGTGCTTTGATGATAGTACTGAATCGAGACAAAACTCAGGCGTCCAAAATTTGATGGAAGCTCATACCAGGCCTTTCCATATCCTCTCACCGGCCCAGAAGTGTCAAATCCAGACTGCGCGAAAATTCAGCGTCATTTCTTGCTCGTATAGCCGTCTCCGACATGGCGCGTAACAAGAGTCTGGTGAAGCCTGCTTGCTGCGCTTCTTGAATGACCTATGCACAAGGAGCTCGGCGATGAATTGATGGCAGGACTATTGTCAGACCTTTTGAACACTCACCATTGGCAGCATCTGATTGAGAAAGTTGGATGCGCAAACGAGAGCGTCAAAAGCTTGAAGGGCCATGTCCTTGGATCCCAGACGCATAGCACAGATGAAGGCGATGAAATGATTGGATGCATCGTTTGCCACCGAGGCAGGACAGTTGGCGAGGATGTCCATCGCCGACTGGGGATTGTTGAGTTCGAGTTGGCACAGTGCAACTTTCCTGTCGCGATTACGAGAACTCTTGCTCAGGCTGCATGAACGCATCGTGCTACGACGGCGAGACACACCTGATGCTCTTCGCCACGGTTGCTGGCTCGTGGAAAAAGGCTCGATGCGTGCCCAGTCCGTAAGCTCGCGATGCTTGCTGGAGCTGAGGCTCTCTGCCCCTAGACAGGGTGTCTCCCCTTCTCCAAATCAATATCATCAAGGCCATCGTGTCAGCTTGATCCATCCTGATCTCGTCCTCTGCTGCGACAGCTAGCAGTTTGGGCTCGGGGTGCCAAATCAGTATCGATCTGGGCTTCAGAACCGCCTCACACAACACCGTCCGCACCGTTCAGCATGTTCTCGAAGTAGTCCAAATCTGTCTCCTGCCGACAAGAGACCAGAAAGGTGAATAGGATGCGTCCGACAAATGATCCACGTTCAGAGGGCTTCGACGCAGCAGCGTTGGCAAGTTTGGAAAAAACGTTCGGGTGTAATGCTCTGCTCATCGGCGCATGAGCGTCAGAGGGATGTCAGCAGGGCCAACATCATAGGTACTTTGCTTGCGGACGAACTGAGCCTGATCCGAGGGTCTCAAGAGTATGAGCGTACTAGGCGAGTCTGTCTCAGCGACCGGCGAGCTGCGCTTCCGAAACGGTGCCGGGTTCCGCTCACCGATTCACAGTCTCCTCAGTCCACTTCATGTGCCGGAAAAGCTTCTCATATAGAGGCAGCAGCTCCAATTCTGATGCACTGCGCAGCTGCAGGACTTCCACGTGGAGGAGAGCAAGGCGCTGAAGAGCTCTAGATTTTTAGTAAGACGGCAGCGCTGAAAGCAGGAGAGGAGAGCGCTCACAGTATCGAACTCGTGCTGTGCCTGCTCGTTGTATATATCGGACACCTCCTTGAGAGCTGCTTCGGCTGCTCTGAAATCCTTCGTATCGATGCGAGCGACAGCGCAGTGGGCGCGAGCTGTTCAAAGTGGACCGACCTCAGTACGTCCATCGAGTCGAGATGAAATCGTTCGAATTATTCAACTTCGTCTGCGAAAGCACTCACCCAATTTACGCAAGCAGCGTATCAGCAGGGGTCGGGTGATATCCGACTCTTGTCCTGCCTCTAGCATCCTCGTGGCCCGCTGCAGCCAGAATATTGCTCTTCGAGCCAGGTCAGTCTGCGCTGGGACAGGCTTGGACAGGAACGCTCGGAGATGACTTGTGCCACGACTCAGACAAGCTGTGGCTACTTGTCCCTGTCAAGCAAGTCGCTTTCAGCTGGGCCGACTTTGCCTCAGCCGCAGATGAGAACGTACTGAGAGTGCTCTGTCTGTACCGCAGTACTCTGGATGCGCGGGGGATGCCAGCCTCAGCAAGCTCGTCGGACAGCGCACTGCTTTGCCACGCACCTTCAGCCCGATCGATGGCTGCAGCAGCGAGCTCGTCCGCATTGTCAACAAGTGCCTGTCGAGTGTATCAGTGCTAGTTTTTATAGGTGCAAACGCTTCAGACTGGGACCTACGATGTCGAACTGAGCCATTGAGTAGGAAACGCCTGCTTCTCGATCGCTTTTGCTCAACGTCTCTCCCACGGCTCCCGGCAGCTCTTTGAGGCGTTTGGAAAGGGCGTCGTCCAGCTGAACAGCTCTACGGCTGAGCTCCTTGGCTTGATCCAACTCATCGGCCTCTGTGCGAATATGGATCACCTGTCAGTCCCGGCCCTTGTCATTTGGGATGGGCGCGCTCTTGCTCACTGCAGAGTGATGAAGCAGTCTTGCCGTAGCATCCCAGTATTCGAGAGCGAGCTACATGAAGCTCCAAGCAGATAAGCAAAAGGCAGAAGATATAGCTGTGGAATCAAAGCCCGCCTCACTTTCCACTTCGTCAACATCTCTGCGACCTGCCTCCATGAGCAAGCAGGCTGAAGTCCGAGCTGCATTTGCACAAGCCAGGTCCGATCGTGAATCACGTCAGCCTCGTGACTCATGGGTGAAGGCGCCGATTGAGAGACGTACTACTGGCTAAGAAAGAGACCAGGCTTTTGTTGTCGCGACCTCTTTCTAAGAAGTGTGACGTGACAGTCGCATTCCACAGCTCGCACCCTGAGAGGCATGTGAGTGACCTCCCCTTCGAGCATCAGATATCCATGTGGCAGGACAGCCCAGGATCGACACACCTGTTACGTCTAGCTGACGGCACAGCTCTATCGGAAGCACCGAGTCTGGCTGTTCGGCTACAAAGCCTGCGAGGCGCTGCCGTAAAGATGAGAGCTGGGCCAGCACTGCCTGATCATCAGCAGAGTCGGAAGCGATTCTTGGTAGGATGGCGTGAGCTGAGGCTATGGGAGGACACGAGGAATGTGAGCAGAACAGGGGAGAGCCAGCGGGAGCGACACTTGCGGTCAGCATACACGCTTTTGATTGAGCAGCAGCTACCCATTTAAGCGCATACATAGGATGCCTTCAGCAATCGCAAGTCTTGTCGGTTGGCGCGTGGTCATCTTTGAACTCTCTATCTGTGTGTCACGTAGCGAGGTGCGTTGCTCCACTTGGGCGGCGAATAAGTCAGCCAAGAAGCCTTGGACAAGATGGCTGTCTAGTAAGTACTGGCATTGAGCTCGGTCTACTAAAGAATTGACGACGACCACAAGCTCAAAGCGAGATCGACGATGACGCCGGCAATGGAGGTCGAACCGGAGCTGCTCGCTGATGCACGAGAGGATAGGCTAAATAGAACGCAGATCTAGGCGCACCGCTTCATTAAAGGTGTATCGGACAGTGAGCCTGAGTCTCCTTCTGAAAGTGAAGTTGGAGGGACTGAGTCGCGTTGTATCACTCGTGATTGCAAACCATCAGAACGTGTATCAAGAGACTCAAGCTATAGAGCTACGGTCACCGGCAATTTTGAGTTGTGAGGAGCCTTCGCTCCGAGGGATCTGACGGAGATGCTCGACCGAATGTGGCCGGCATCGGTGCGTCCCTCGATCTTGCTCGCGACTCCACACGCGCGCGCGCGGCGCTATCGGCGTCGCTGCTGAACGCGCGCGGGCATAGCGAGCCGACTCTGCGCGGACCTGATGACTGCATGACGGCTTGCGCGTGGCCTAGCTGCCCTGGAGCCTGTACCCACGGCGCAGCTGGGCTGCTTGCTGATTGATCTTTGCTTGTCATGACGAGGGTGCGCGATGCTCGCAGCATGATGAGCGGAAGCCACACGCGCTGCTGGTGCAGCAGCAGGCAGGCATACCGTAGCACGGCCTCCAACGAGGGCACGCACATTTTGCAAGGCTCTCTTCTTGCTTCGCTTGAACAGTCACAGTCAGAACGGTCAGAGCTAGTCACCAGTCAAGAATGCAAGATTGGCAATTGGCTGGCCCGAACCTCCTCCATCCCTATACTCCTCCACCGTACACATCTCACGCGGTAATAGAAGCGTTGCTTCACTAGCTCGAGCGCTCACCATCTGCCACGAACAGGCCCCGCTGGTGTTCGACTTGTCTGGCATTGCGTTTGGTCGAGCCACACCACTTTCATCATCATGATCGCAGCAAGGCGTGCTACTGGCCAGTCATCGCTCACTCGAGCGGCGGCTAGCATCGCTGGGTCCAGTCCGGCATCAGCCCAGCTGTCTGCTCTGCGGTTCAAAGCACCATCCACCAGCGCCACTCTTCATTTGAGCCGTGCCTGCGCTCAACCTCTCCCTAGATTGCCGCACAATGCCGGTCTCAGATCCATCGCTCTTTTCCATTCTTCCGCTGCCAGGCTCGAAGAGACGGTACCCGTGCCGCAGATGGCAGAGTCGATCACCGAAGGTACGCTAAAGCAGTGGACAAAGAAGAAGGGCGACTTTGTCAGTCAGGATGAAGAAGTAGCCGTCATCGAGACTGACAAGGTGAGTCACCTTGCAGCAGCTGAGCATGCATGAGGTTGGCTTTTCATGCTCGCCTGCCGTAGGACCGCTCGAAGCGTGCTGATCGTTTGACGCCATCCCGAACGCCCGCTCAGATCGATGTCACTGTGAACGCGCCTCAATCTGGTACCATCACCGAGACGCTGGCCAATGAGGAAGACACTGTGACAGTTGGACAGGACCTCTTCAAGCTCGAACCTGGAGATGCTCCGGCCGAAGGCTCTAGCGGAGGCAAAGAGGAGTCCAAGGACGAAGGCAAGGAAAAGGAAGAAGCTGACCAGAAGAAGCAGAAGCAGGAGCAAGAGCAGCAACAGAAAGAGCAGCAGCAGCAAAAAGAGCAACAAGAGTCTGATAAGAAGAGCAAGGAGGAGCAAGGCTCCAAGAAGAAGGACCAAGAGCAGGCAAAGAAGAAGGACGAGGGCAAGAAACCATCGGGAGGTGATGGTGCCAAGTCTACCTCTGGTCCCTCCGCACCTGTCGACCCTGCTCCGGCTACGCGCGGAAGTCGAGATGAGAGGAGGGTCAAGATGAACAGGATGAGAATGAGAATCGCAGAGAGGCTGAAGCAGTCTCAGAACACTGCTGCCAGCTTGACCACCTTCAACGAGATCGACATGTCCGCCATCATGGCTTTCAGGTCCAAGCACAAGGATAGAATCCTGAAGGAGCAAGGCGTCAAGCTGGGCTTCATGGGTGCTTTCGCCAGAGCTAGCGCCTTGGCACTAAAGGAAATTCCTGCTGCCAATGCGAGCATCGAAGGAGAGGGACTGGGAGACACGATCGTCTATAGAGATTACGTCGACTTGAGCGTCGCCGTCTCCACCGAAAAGGGTCTCGTCACTCCCGTCGTGCGCAGCGTGGAGGAGATGGGAATCCTTGACATTGAGCGTGAGATCGCGGCACTGGGCAAAAAGGTGAGTTTGTATGCTCCTGCAAATGGTGCGGCAAGCTCATGTGCTGATTTTGGTCTTCCCTTCAACAGGCACGCGACAACAAATTGACTTTGGAAGACATGGCCGGCGGAACATTCACCATTTCCAACGGAGGCGTCTTTGGTAGTCTCTTCGGCACTCCCATTTTGAACCTGCCAGGTTCTGCCATCTTGGGCATGCACGCCATCAACGAGAAGCCATGGGTGGTGGACGGGCAAGTCGTCATTCGTCCCATCATGGTCGTCGCCTTGACTTAGTGAGTAGCCGGCTTTTTCGCTGTTCGCACCTACTCCCTTCGGGTCGAACTGTCATGCGCTGACGCCGTGTACCCTCCCGTGTGCGCCGCCACAGCGACCATCGACTCTTGGACGGTCGCGAAGCTGTTACTTTCCTTGTTCGCTTGAAACAATACCTCGAAGACCCTGCGCTCATGGCTTTGTAGCTTCATCTGCACTTATGCCCTCTCTCTCTCTCCTTCATTGTCGGGAGCGTCTTTAGATATGAGCAAAGAAGAATCGAATTTTGACGCAACGCCTCGGACGTTGTTCGGAGCTGCAGGGCGTGGCGTGATTTTGCCTGAGAATGGCGGCAACTTGCTCGAAAGCTCAGCATTCGCTCAAAGATTGTCGAGTGAGCTGCTCGACGCCACAAAGCTGTGTGGCGTGCAATGCGGCTGGATAAAGAATGAACGACGCTGAGTAGGCTCAAATAGCGGTACGACGATGCTAGACTTTTGCGAGTCCTCTGTACGGTAATGTTGCTCGGTGTAAATATGGGAGCCTGATCAGTCGGCGCGCACGCCGCTCCACCTCGAGAGATGATTGGTCATTCACTGGATAAAAGACTGCGTCGGGGATCTGATTACAGCTCATTGCAAATATGTGGTGGTACACAAGTTGAAGTAGAGCCGGATCTGATCGTGTCCAGAACGACAACGGCGCAGAGGTGAGGCAGCACGAAGAGGGTATGGAAGTTCGACTTCGCTGGGCTGGCACAGCGAGCATCAATGCGCAAGAGGCAGTGAGACATGTCGATCATTTTGTCAGAATACCGCCGGTGTGTGGTGAAGATCATGTATCGCGACAAGCCTGCTCGCTCAAGCTTGCATGATCTCTCCTGTGGGCGGCAGAGTAGGACGAGCGCTACCAAGAGGGCTCGCTACTGTCGTAGGAGCGGTGCCGACGCTCGAAGGAGCTCTGGGCGGGGAAGTCGAGTCTCCATGGTCCGAAGACTCAGCGGCTGTGATCTCGCTTCTAGGCGGGGCTCTCAAAGATGGCGAGGCTGGTGACCCCGCGTGACCAGTGGGTTGAGGTAGGGGAAAAGAAGGAGGAGCGCTGGGATAGTCGTCTGCCCTCGTCACTTCGGACTGAGGACCTGTCACACTGCTTGCTGCTGTCGGATAGCTGCTGTGATTTTCTCGGCCTGCGGTGGGCGCTGGTGGATACGTATTTGCTGCCGACTCTTGATCCTTAGGCTCAGACGCGTATGCTCCCGCGCCTGCGGCTCCTGCGCCAGCCGCACTATCGGATGCCAGACCTCCGTGCGAACGAGGGACCTTGAGCGCAAGCAAAGTGGCAGCAGCGAGCAAGACGAACGAGATTACCCCTGCGAGAGCCGCATGACGAGTTTGTGAGTCATCTGATGAGACATGTGCCAAACCGTCCTTGAGTCATATGTAGCCTCCACTCACAAGAGATCCACGCAAATGCTACTGTGGCCTTGATTGTGCCGCTGTGGTCGATGGAAGCGAGCCACGCGCGGTCAGCACTGAGCTCCGATCGCATTGGAACCAGATTTTTGGACTCACCAAAAATGCGAGTCTCCAATGAGCCGATCAGCGATAACATCAGCGAGGCTAGAGCATGTGCCTCCGCTGGACGAGTAAGCGGCCCCAATCAGGAAGAGCAGCCAGACAAAGGCCAAGATGCCTGCCACGCCGAGCGGTCCGACGACCCATCGTACAGCACTGGAAGGTGTAGCTCCCTTTGCGCCGCCGACAGGCAACAACGATAGCACTGTCACCGCCGAGCCCCACAGGAAGGTGAACAGGCCAATGAATGCAATCTGAGAGGTGACAAAGTCCGATCAGCGCCACGCCAGAGCCATTCCCCAGTCCTACTTTGATCGCACTCACCAGGCCCCAGCCACCATCTCTGAACCCGCTGTATCGAACGCCGAGGTCGTCCACTGCATCTTCCAGCTTGCCGATCTGCCCCGCCGAGTAAGCCTGCAGTTTGGAGCGCAGCACGAAGTTGATAGACCCGGTCAGAAAACACTACCTGAGCATGCATGCGCATCGTAGCCGATCATCATAGGTCGTTACTTACACCCAGCACACCTGCAATGAAAGCAAAGAGGGCGAGAACAGGAATGCCGAGCACTGCATGTAGGAGGGGTGAGGATCAAATGTGCTTAGTCAGCGTGATGGGAAGACTTTACCCATGCGCAATTGGTGGCATCCCTACGTGTCCAAGAAGAGTTGCGCCATGCTCTTTCCGCATGCGTCGTCGGAACGCGCAGAGAGGCTCTTCCAAACGAGACCCTAAAAGCTTTCTGCGCTCGACTCACACACGAGCCGATATGTCCCGTGTGGGTCGCTCGAGCCGATTGGTGTCTTGTGCGCAAATCCCGCCATCATGAACAATGTCCACTTAGCAAAAGGTAGACGGCTATCTGAGCGCTGTGGGAGCGACAGAGAGGTGGCGCGAGGTGATACGAGCGGCGGAAAAGGCAGTGTACCTCGGCACAGCAACGGATTGATTTGCCGCGTCGCAGTGAGTGGTTGAGAGACGCAGGCAGTTGTGGGGAGGGAGAAGGGACGTGTATTGATGGTAGCTACACAGTGAATGGAGTGCAGACGACGGGTGAACGGGTGATGATGACCGTCTTGATGAAGACGAAGGAGACATTCACATTCAGCCATTCATCACGCTCTGATCTGCGTGATCCATCCGTCCTGCATCCCGTCACATCTCTGCTCGAGCTGGCCCTCTCCAGCTGGAGGAGCAGCCATGGTGAGTCACGACGGACTTGCGCAGCCGAAGCGAAAGTGTCTCACACACGGGAGCTCTGGAGCAAAGTCGTGATAGTCACAGCTAGCGAAAGAACGCGTAGACAGCTCCAGTGCCTCGCTGAGGTTGCTCTGGGTAGCTGCGAAGTGGCTGCATGATGGCTGTGCATCTCTTGACGTTTAATCAAGAATCACAATTGTGTAGCGCCGTTTAATTGCAGATTGAGCAGCAGCATCCATGCATGCAGCTGCGAGTCGCAAGTCGCAGACTTTCCTCGAAGGGGCGGGGTTTCGCACGCGCGCCGCGGGCGATGAAATCCTGTAGCGGGCTCAATCATGCAGCAATCAGTCACGTTCGCGATTATACAGCTAGGTGTCGAGTCAAAGTGGATTCATACACCCAAGCCGCGTACAGAATTGGGCGTACTCTTTGGCGCTCGTATCGATCCAGGGTCTCCTCTTTATCATCGCTCGAGGTCTGTAGAGGCAAATCCAATGTATCGCGACGATGGATAGGAGTCAGATGTATAAGCCAGCTCATCCATCCCCAAGTCGCCAGCTCTCTGCTACACTGCACCATGTGTGGCTGTGGCATCTCCGTGCTGACGCTGGTCGAACGCAAGAACACCGGCATGACAGCTAAGTTCAATTGCAACTACTAACAGTCACTACTCGGTATTAGGATTAGTATTAGCCGAACACAGCATGACAGCTAAATCTGGACCACAAGAGGCGCGTGAGCACAGACGCGCGCGCGCTTGTCTGCTGCTAATTGGCTACGCCTGAGTGCATGAAGACTGCATCGACTCGCTCTTGTGGATTGCCCGCTCGCAATTTAAACGGCACCACATTCGTGATTCACGATTATTTACAATTTTGAATCAGCCTGTGGTGGGGTTGGTCTCCAACACACAGCGAGTGAGAGACTTCAGGACGGGAACAGCAGGATTGTCCGTTCATGGCTGAGGCGGTGTCAAGCTGACTACTGTGATGGGATTAGCTCGCACACGGCGCTTCGGATGTCGGCATATGCGCAACCGGCCATGCTGTAGCTTGTTCGGTACATTTAGATGACCGAGCTGCGTGCAGTGTTTGCGCTAGAAGATGCTCTCGCCGCAGAGCCGTTTGCAGCCAAGACTCAACTTTCCTTGCACTCGTGGATCGACTCTTCAGTAGACCACATTCACGAGTCTTGCGTCCTGTCCGCGCGGTCGTCGCGGTCTTCAAGCTCATGATGTGACACCCAGCTTCGTGACGAACGCCGGCTCGCGACCAGCAAGATGCAATCAATCCTCCTCTGTTCGGCCTCTCACTTCGACATCGCGTCGGTGGCCTGTGTCGAATGCTTGAATAAAGTCGATCAGAAGCCGGCTGAGCTGCAGCGGAAGACCAAGAAAGAATTGCATTCATAAATCCTCGTGCCTGGATACCGAGCGCATGGCGTGGAGAAGACACCGCATGCATGCGTAACACGCGGAAGCAACCTCACGCATCGGGACTTGTTGTTCTTTGCTTGGCAGCTATAGCTGCATGGCAGGTGATCAAGGGATCGGCGCAAGACGTAACCCAAATCAAAGAAGAGGATGCGTGCGAACGAGCTGGACGATGAATGAAGGTGCCAATCACGAATGCAACTGGAGAGCTCATGCAGAAAGATCTCGAAGTGCTGGCGACCGGTAGATATCGACTCGCCTGCAAACATACAGCAACCACGGTCAGACTACTACAACGAGAGCAGCGCCTTGATTGACTTTGTGTCTGCTGTCTGGGAATAGAGTACATGGCGATGCAAATGTGCTTGAGAAGACACAAGTGAATTGACGAGCGCACGTCAATGTGCGCGAACCTCATGGCCAATTCCATCGGTACATCGTCCTGCGCAGGTCCGACAAGGATCCAAGTAAGATTCGATATAAAGTGCGACAATGTGTAGCGAGATGATCAGCTGCTGACTCACCAGCCAAGGAAGCCCTCATCAAGCCTGAGTGACTCTGTGCCCTTTTCTCCCTCATACGTGGCGCCGAGTGCGACGAGATGGGGCAAGAAATGCTCGTCTGTAGGGTGGCACAATTTGTACTCCTGCCTTTGAGTAAGCTGAACGGCACGTTCTTTCGCTGCATCGTCTGTTCCAGAAGCAGGAACAATGGCGTCTGATAAAGCTTGCAAGAATCCGGCAGCGTATGTGGGCTTTTCGTACGGTCGGCCAGATCTGACTAATCTGAAGCCCCCGAGATTGTGAACAGCTTGTCCTCCAGCAAAGATCAAGATGCCTTGTTCGCGCAAGGGACGCAGTGCTTCCCCTAGCTGGAGAGCTTGCTGTGCATCTTTGAGTGAGTTGCCCGTCGGTCGAGGCAGACTGACTTGGACGAGCGGAATATCATTCGCACCTGTGAGACCCTTGGGGAACGCAGCGAGCATGGGCACCCACACTCCGTGGTCTGGTCCCCGTGACACTCCTTCACCCGCAAAGCTGGTCGTGTTCAAATGTTTCAAAATCAGGTCGGAAAGCCAGCTCGGATTGCTCGAGGGGAACTTTTGCTCGTAGTAATGTGCTGGGCTTCGGGCATGGATGCTACACATGTCAGCAAGAAGCGCGAGGAGGATCTCAAGCCCTCGCAAACGTTTACTCACAAATTGTAGAAATCATAGATGAGGGGATTGGCTGCATCGCTGTTGACCTGAATTGTGGGCTTATCACCGCTGGACCGTGCTTCAGACTCCCAATGAGCAGAGATGGCAAGGATGGCTCTTGGGCGCGGTTGCAATTTGGACAGGTCCGAGCCCGTGTTGACCCAGGATTTGTGCGCTGGATGAGAAGTGTCGAACAGGGTGGGCGGTCCACCATGAGACATGAAGAGCACTGGAGCTCGCTGAATAGCTGAGGTGACTGTCATATTGTACGCGAATCGGATGCCCGTGCAGCCGTGTTGTGAGAGCTTGTATGCGGCTAGCAGGACAAGAAGTGATAGGTACAGCAAAGCGAGACGCGTGGAGGTGTCAAGATGCCAGAACTTTCTTGTGATTCGGTCGAGCATGAGAAGAGAGACTTGATCACAAAGATGAAGGGACGACTGCCAAGATCGTGGTGAAGCCCTTCTTATACGTCTCCTCAGCTCATCGTTGAGGCCACCATGCAATCGTGAATCTGAATCGAGAAGGCAACGAACGGTCAGTCTGATGAGTGACATGCACGTCCGTCCATATGCAAGCATGTGCCATCGTCAAGTCAAGAAGTCACGAGTGCGGAGCAAAGGCAACGGCGTGTTCAGCTGCACTCGCTCGCTGTTAAGCGTGTGGCTGCGCGCGCGAGGCATTGCGCAATTAAGAATCCATGCAGCAGCAATTTGAATTTAGATCACAATCGTGAAATATATGCTGTTAACCGCGAGTCACGAAAGGGCGCGACGCCGGACTTGCCCGCCCGCAGCCATGCATCATCACACACGCGCATCCACTCGATCACTCACTTCATGACTCAACTCGACTCACGATTGTGAGTTGCTGCTCTCACGCAGCGTCAATTCGCGCGAGCAGCGACGAGACTTCACGACGCAACGCTGTATCAGCTGACAAGTTGCGCTACATAAAGATGGCTCTTAACAGCGAGAGTCGTGATTGGTTCGATAAGGGTTGCATGCTCGCCACGGAGTTACGGTCTCGCCTCGAAATTTGAAAGAAGAGCTTACCACCGCCGTGGCTCTCACGTGAACGTCATCCTCGAGTTTTGAGTCAGAGTGGGACGCGAGAGGTGTTGTGGCTGCGCAAAGTCTTAGCGCAGATTTTTGAGGCGTCAGAGATGCGAGGAAGCGTCAAAGACTCGATCGTGATCTGTCGACTCTCGTGAGGTGAACAGGTGGTGACACCTCGCCACGGCTCGCGTCTATGCAAAAGGCTGTTGTGTGTGTGCATGTTGACCCTCTCGATTCATGACTGGCGCTCCTTCGTCGGACTAATGAAGGAATGAATTACCGCGTGCCCCAGGCCTACCAACATACAACAAAGAAGCACCACGAAAGCGCTCGTAAGGCCCTTCACAGCTCTCACGCCCCAATTACCTAGCTCAAAGCCTCGGAAACGGCCTAGCTGTGGCGTACATAAGCGCGGGCCCTCGGTCCACTAGCCCTGTGGAGTTGATATCGCCGGCCTTCATGACGCAGACCGACATCCAGGTGATGGCAACGTTTCCTTGGCTCTGCCACCCTATCCATGCGTAGTCAACACCCAGCGAGATGCACGAAATGTCGAAGCGACTGAGAGTGCGACCAAGGCCTCCACTGCCTGCGCGGCCTCTCTTGTACGCTCTATCCCCGTCTGCCACTGACGTGCTCGACCTGCAACGCGAGCTGCACAATGCCATCTTTGGTGCTAGCAGATCGGTCTCGGTCGTGGATGGCAGGGCTGCTTCTCCAATAGTGCATGCCACAACCATACCGCAGAATCTGCGACTCTCCATCGATGGCTTTGAGGTGTTTGGCAATCCGCAACAAGTGCTGAGAGATGGAGACACCATCGAGTGAGTGTCAAGTCGAAGAGGTGTTATACGCTGGGAGCGACATGGGCTGATGTTTCTATCTGGCTTTTCCTTGCAGCGTGTTTGCCGTAGATGGTGTTGCCGATGAGAGTCCCTTCTTTGCCGGACAGAATGGCACACCTGCCCCTCTCGCACCTCCTTCAGCACCACTAGCAGTACCCTTCTTTGAGGATTCGGCCGCACGCTCATCTGCCAAGCGCCATAGGGAGTATGACGCTCAGCAACGCTCTTCCGCGGCTGCTGTGTACTCAGCAGCCGATGACCAGGCTACTTCCAGCGGCAGCAAACGAGTCAAAGAAACTTCTGGGCCGGAGGAGGATGCACAGAATGTCACTGCCCTGACCAAGACGCAACGACGTGCTCTGCAACGGAAGAGTCAGCGACAGGCGATCAAGGACAGTCATTTGCAACAGCAAGCAGATGCGTCAGCAGACCTGTCGGGTACTCTAACAGGGTCTGAGCAACACAGCAAAGCCGAAGAGGAACTGCTCGAATCTGCGGAGCGCGTAGCAGATCGAATCAGAGCACGTTTTGGTAATGATCGATCCGAAGCGCCAGATGAGCTCGAGCGGCAGGAGGCATCGGAAGAAGGTGATGCAATGTCAATAGATGATTTGCCAAGGATGGAACCCGCTGTAACTCGTAGTACCAAGCCAACGTCGGATAGGAAAAGTACAGCGGCGATGCCTCTTCCACCTCTAGGTCTTGGCTCCGTGGGCCTTGCGCGTTCGATCGGCACTACCGGCGCAGCCATGCTTGCCTTCGATGCACGCAAAGCAGGTCGTATCGCACAGATGCAGCCGCCAAAAGCTGCTGTAGGAGCTGCCCTGCCTTTAGAGGCCGCGCTTCCTGTCCAGGCTGAGAGCAGCGGCAGCGACAGCTCCGCATCAAGCAGCACCAACAGCACCAGCACTTCCACTTCATCATCTTCAGCAACCACTCCTGTACCGCGCAAAGACTCGAGCAAACCCAAACCATCTGTAAAGCCAAACGCTGGACCGTGGGTAAAGCCAGGGGAGGGTAAGGCTAAGACGCAAGCCAAAAACGCAAAGCGTCGCGCGAAGCAGCGCGAGGAGCTTCTCAAGACAAGGCGGGAGGAATTCGAAGCTTTGCAGACGAGGCGCGCGCTAGGGCTACCGAGGCCTCCAGAAAATGAAGGGCAAGCTGGCCCTTCCAGGCCAAAGCATGCAACATCAAGCGTCATTCAGCCTACGATCAGCGAACTCACCTCCGATGAAACAGAGTCAGACTCTAGCAGTGACTCGGACTCCGACGAGACGTCGAGCTCATCCAACAACTCTGAGAGCGCCTCCGGCGAAGATCCAGATTCCTCCTCTGACGTCAGTGAAATCGAATCCGACGCCTCCACTTCCTCGTCAGACACGTCTTCAAATCTCAAAACTCCAGGCTGGAATTTGTCTACTACGAGCTCCGTCCTAGCTCAATTGCCTTCGAAACAAGCTCCGCAAGCCTCTGCGCCCTTGGAGCTTCCGCCGGGCGGTGGTCTGCTCGGCTTGGAAGACGACATTGAGATGGAAGATCTCGACGACAACAGCGTGGCCGGCCCTTCTGTGCTCCCACAGAGCTCCCTTGAGGAAGTGGCCCGCAGAATGCTGCGCAGGCGCGCCAACACCAGGCGAGGTCCGCTAGCTTCTCATGCTATCACCAACAGCATTTCGGCCAGGTTTAGAGCGGCGGTTGACGCGGGTGAGAGCGCCGACGTAGCACCAGCCGACGCTTCAGAACTGCCATCCTCATCGCATTCGGTGACACCATCAGTCTCGACTGCGGTGGCTAGCACAACCTCGTCAGAAACGCCACGACGAGCTCCGCCGCTGCCGTCTGCGCAGCCGTTGCCACCTGGCGTTCGTGTCAAGTCGCTCGACTGCAGCCAGTGGTACGACATGGCGTGGAGCTCTGGATGGCCAGATGGATGGTACCCTACATCTAGCGACGAGCCGCTTCCGGAGACCACCGAGGCGGCGACTGTGCCCGACGACGACGTGGACGTTGTTGCCGACGATTCCGCAATAGATGAAGAAGTTCGGGCACAAGAGGAATGGGCAAGGTTGCAGGCGCAAGCACGAGCGGCGACGGACGTTGCTTTGCAACAAGAAAAGGATGCAGAAACACAGAAGCCACCAAGGTTCCCTCAGACAGATCAGGCACCTGCGACGACGACGATACACAATGCCGAGGTGCTGGCGTCAGGCTTGCCCTCTGCCCTAGACGCTGTCAGCCCTCAACAAGCTAGCGCGATCGCGCTGGACATCTCCGATGCGACAAACGCAGCTACCCTACACCGTCTGAGCGCTCCCACCACGAGTGTTCCAGCGGTCAAAGTTACATTATCGCCCCCTGGGGCACACTCTTCACTTCCGTTGGCATCTCCTTCGCACTTGTCTCCTTCTAGCATGCACATGCCATCCAAGGTTGCTCTTCGTATCGAGCCAATGGCAGCTCCCGCCCCATTGTTCGGGGCCAGCGGACAACATAGGCAGACGCAGACGTCACCTCGCGCAACGCCAGAGCCCGGGTCTGCCGTCTCTCCGAGAGACGGGCGACGATCTGTTGACAAAAGTCGTGCCAGTAAAGATAGGTCGCCGAGGGAGCATCGTTCCTGGGAAGAAGAGCGTGAAAGGTATCGGCACTCATCGACAGACTATCGACACGACAGAGAAGACCGAACAAGGAGCGAGCGTTACCGTAGCGACTATGGGTCCAGGGAAGCAACACTAAACGAGCGGGACTCGTCGCGTCACTCAAAGTCAGTATACGAAGACCGCCCAAGAAGTGTAGATCATTCTGCAAAGAACGGCGCGCGTCCCAGGGATGACTACGATGTCAAGTATGCCAGTCGTTCGTGGGAGCATGATCGCTACCGGCCAGCGCGGTCTCCACGAGAATCATCGACTTATCGACCGCGCAATGAGGATCGACAGGACGACGTGCGCTACTCTCGCTACTATGACCGCAAGAAGAGCGAGGATAACGAGAAGGGACGCAGTGCGGGTGAAGCATCGCGTGTCTCATCTGACAAAAGTGGCAGAGAATCTAGCAGCCGGCTGTCAGAGACCAAAGTGGCCCCTGCTTCACCTCCCAAAAGCCCGCGTCTACATCGTGCCGCTCTGCGTGAAGCTCGGATTCCATCAAATGTCAGTACCTCGCATGACCTGCGTCCCTCAGCGCTACCGCATGCTCCGAAAATCATCTCCGAGGGCCAAAGCGCAAATTCGGCGCATCAAAAGATTCCGACTGGCCCTAGAGGCACAGCTACGACGGCTCGGGCAAGCGCCGCACCGGCCCGCAAGTACAAAGATATTGACCATGCCAAGGGGGAGGTGTCGAGCAAGGACCCTTCGCGCTCATTTGCTTATATGAATCTGGATTACGGCAGCCCAGAGCCCGGGGAAATTGCCGAACAGAGGGCGAAGGATCTGACGCCTGTCCAGAATGAAGTTCCGCCTAAGTCGAGCGTGCCAGAACGGCCCAATGGCAGCACCGAGCAGGAGGCAAACATTGCACCCGAGCAGACTCAGCCGACTGCCAAACAGCCGAGCCCAATCAGTCCCAACACATCAGCCGCATCCCTACCTCCTGACGTGCTGCGCCTTCGAGAGATGGCGCTGGCTTCGCGAAAGAAGCGATGAAGCGGAGCATACTGCTATTCGCGGTGGACTCGTACGAGGAGCGTCGCAAAGCGCGCGCTACTCCCGTGACTCTCTCGTCACCTCACCGGCGCCCGGAACCAATCGCAATCAGATCACAAGCTACATATGTGGTGAATGCGGCAAACCCGAAGGTCGCAATGATATGATTTAAATAGCGACACCTATTGAGCGGCGTACCAGCATTACAGAAGGGAGAGGATTGGCACGATCAAGCGCAGTACTATGGAAGGCTAGCTCATCAAGGTGGGGATCTCTGAGGTGTGTACGTTTCCTAGATTGAGATGGTGACCATCATCATGATGGGGTTGGTCCTCTTCTGCCATGCGTCGGGGCGTCAATCGTTTGTCATTAAATGGAAAGGGACAAGGCATTTGGGTGACAATATTGGGGATGCATCTTCGGGAATTCTTCAGAATGTGGTCGTCGTATCGAGCTCGACCGGGCGTTTAGGCTGCCTCGGGGTGCTGCTTGATCCAGTCGTTGTACTTCACCACGACGGTCTTGGCTCCAGAACCCTGAACAGGCATGGGGTCGCAGCGAGGTCGGAGCGCGTTGAAGCCACTGCGAGCGAAGAAGCTGCTGGTTGGCGCAGCACGAGGGACGACTTGGGTCACGGTGGGTCCGTTGCCGCCGATGGGGGTACCGTCGCACTTCTGCTCGCGCTTCCAGGTCTGGTCAGCACCGACCCACTCGGCACGCCTCAGGTGGAATTTGACAACGTCGGTCGCTCGACGCAGGTCGTACTCGATGCGCGCATCGCGGCGCACGCTGCGCTTGGCGGAAGGGCCGGGTCTTTGCACAAGAGTGTGGTCGCCTCCCATACCACCGTAATTGAGCGAGGTCGTCTGAGTGCAGGTGAAGACAGTGCCATCAGGGCCCTCTGACTTTACAGCGGCATCTCGTCGATTAGTATAGTGGCACTGGTTGCCGGTGTTGGCATCTGTGTTGGTCATCGTATTATCGTGCCCGGTGCCAGCGTCGATATTAGCACGAGCCTTGGGTCCGATGTTGATAGAGTCCGGCTGGTTTTGGCCGTAGATGTTCTTCACCCATGGCTTTTGCTCGCAGACGACTGTAGCCTCTTCACGACGCGTGTTGCCAAAGTGACAGTCATTACCCACATTGCTGTCGGTCGTGATCATCTGGTTGCCGTTAGCTCGGCTCAGGATCTTGTTGGCAAAGTCTTCACGGCCGAGACGAGCGTGCAAGTTGGGCAGATCCACATCGGCAATTGCACGTTTAACGCCGATGTTCTGGCCGGATGAGACACACTTCATGGCTCTACGACCGTTGCCGAAGTGGCAGGAGCTGCCGATGTTGGAACCGCCTTGGTCGCCTTCATAAGCTTCCTGGGCGACGGAGTTCCCGCCATTTCCGTTGCCAGCGTGCCATGATTCGCCGATGGAGGAGCCCTTGTCGTTCTGGGCCAGAGTGACCGTTTCGGTGCGCTCATGCATCTCCTCGACACCTCGGCGCATCACCTTGAGTGCGTCAGCACGACGCAAGAAGGTGGCTGCCTCGTCGATATCGCGGAGGTCGTAGATGACTGCAACATCGCGGCGGTGATTTGGGTTGTCACGAAGGCAGGCGACCGAGGCGAGATCCGGTTGGTACTCGCAGTCCGACTGAGCCGGTGCAGCAAAAACCGAAGTTGCCGCAGCAATGACGGCGACGATGAGGATAGACTTGTGGGCGAACATGTTGACTGAGATGGATGAGTGCTACCTGAGCGCTGAGATACGAAAGCTTCTGAAGGAGAGGGAGCAAAGACACAAGAGATTGAGGACGCAGGGGGGGAGAGGAGACCGGCTCGGATGGCTGAGGGATAGATGTTGATGGCGACGTAAGGAAAGTTAGCAGTCCGGCTGCTGAGAGAGAGTGTGTGACGAGAGGAAAGCGCTGGGCGAGAAAGTGCACGGTGACCGAAGTAAGGAGAAAGAGGAAAGTTGACAACCTGTCGAGCTCGGGTACTCTATTTATATGTCGCGAGGATATGCTCCAATGCCCTTCGAGGGCTTGTCGATCTCCAGCACCACTCGTCTACATCCGAGAGCCTAGAAGCGCAAGATTTGCAGAGACCCGTCGCTGCGTCAGCCGACAAGGAGAACGAGCTCTGCTCGGAGGGCGCAGCGCAGGAAGGAGCAGAGAAAGACCAGCATGCTTGCGAAGCCGATCTTGCCGGCCGTGCTGAGCACAGAACCCGCGTGCGCCATTCCCTTGGCATTCACGATTAATTGGCTCTGCGTTCTGGGTCGAACCAACGAATCCGCTCACACTTCTCGGACATATATTCCACAAGAGCTTGCCGCTGCATGCATAGCTGCGGCCGCTTACGCCCCGAACGAGCATTGTCTGTCGTCAAGCGTTTGGATGCTCGAGACAGAAGGACGAGCCCTCAATTGCAGGCCGGCCTGCTGGAAGAGAGTGCATGCACGTTGGCGCAGCTCGGGGCGCAACCCTCATGCATGCATGCTGGGCGTTCTCGTCATGCAGTAGCGTCCTGCGCCCGCGCCTTTCGAGCCCTAAAAGACGCGACCTCGCGGACGTGACCCGAGGAGACGTTCGCTGGAGCGATGTGATCCCTCCCAAACCATCACATCTATAGGCATATATTCATGCGCTTCGCTTAGAAACGCAAGTGCTCGAGCAATCCATTCCGGCACACAGCCCGCGCATGTCCAAAGCATCCGGTGCGATAGGCGCCGCTTCATGCAGGGGGGCGCCCATGATCACTGCAAACATTACCACGACCTGAATGTTCGAGCCCCTTCTCCACCCTCGAGCAGCGGTCACTTCCCATACGGGCCGAGCATCGCAAGCTTTCAGAATGCAAGTTCGCAATGCTACGCCAGAGCTAAAGTAGCGTGATTGCTCTTCGGCGGAAAGCATGTACGAGATGGATTCTTTTGACTTCGGCAGATCGGCCGGCCGCGCGTGCCTACGCCTCAGAGTGGCCCATCCAGTCGTGAGCGCAGCAGCATCAAGCGCTTCGTACAGCACACATCTATCGATCACAATCTCAAAGTATAAAGAGGGCCGACTTTTGATCGTTTCCCAGCTTCCTATTCTCCTCAGCCAGTCCAACTTGCCCAACTTGCCCTTTTGCCTTCTTTCGACTTCGGAACAGCTGGTCTGTTTCAGTCACTTTTTTTTTCTCTTTCAGCGCGCACCCTTTTGCAACTCCCCCTTTTTTATTTTTTCAAGTCCCGAGTCAAGAAGTCATCTGACTTTCACCACATTAGACAACTTTCAATCGTAGCATTCTTTATCCTTTTCGCACGTCACTTCTCTCACCTTTTACCCGTCCAACTTCCAAAACATTCTCGTCAAGATGCAACTCACTGCTCAAGCTGTCCTCGCTTCCATCGTCATCTCCGGCGCTCTCGCCGCTCCTCTGCCCCAAAGAAAATGGCCTGGCCAAACCGGTTTCGACAAGGACGGCAAACCCAAAGCAGTGGGAGGAACCCAATTCTTGGCTGACAACGGTGCCAAGATCGGTGGTGGTCTCGCCATCGCTGGTGCCCTCGGCGGTATCGCCGGTGGTGCTATCACTGCTGGCAACAACCGACGCGACATCGAAGTCGAGCTGTCTGAACGTAACTCCCTCGGGCGGACCAACACAGCATCAGGCCGAATCGAAGGCAACACGGCTGGTGGTCCTCACCCCACTCCCCTTGACATTAAGACTCCTAAGCCCGACAAGAACGGCGCTATCAACGCTGGAATCGGTGCTATCGGTGCTGGAATCGGTGCTGTTGGTGCTGGCCTCGGTATCGCAAACGCCATCAACGGTCGCGATGTTGAAGCTGAGCTGGAGCGTCGTCTCACACCCGCCAACCTCGCTCTCACCGCGCTCATGGGATCGGGTGCCGAGGTTAACCATGCAGACGGCAACCAGCAGACTTGGCAGAGCGGTGGCAAGAGCTCTGGTGCCTCCAGCCGTCGTGACATCGACGAGTATCTCGCTCGTCGATTGATCAATGTTGGCAGCAACCACCAAGACCAAAACGTTCAAGGCGGTGGTTCCGGCCCCGCGTCTAGCGGCAGCAAGTCGGGCAGCAGCGGCGATGCGTTCTGGCAA